TGTCCGACACCATATTAGGAAAGTTTCAATGAGATTTCAAATTTGAATTTGAGCGGATTTGAAATTTTCATGATTAATTAGGCGGAGCGAATTAGGAAACGCATAACTTCTCTTCCCCTCACTCCCAATCCTCCTCTACATGCCGCCGGCCCCCCTTAGTGGGCCCCTCTCCTTTAGTGCTTCATTAAGGGACTTAATATCATGCTATTTGAATTTCAAATCCCTTTAATTTCCCTTCAATTTTACTTAAATCTGAGAATAATCTCAGATTTGAAACTTAAAACAATTTCTATTCCACCTAACCTAGCTTCCTCCCAACCCTAGCCGACTTCCCCCCCCCCCCCCCACCTTACAACCCGTCGGCCACTTTCTCCCCACCGTCCGTTCCCTTCCACTCTTCCCTCCCTCTCAAGATGTCTCCCCTTGTTAAATGGAGATGGATGATCGACCTGGAGTTTGAGTCTGATCTTGCATACGAAGGCTAAGAGTGCATGGATCTTCTCAACTTACCCTTTTCAACTTGACTCCAAATCTTGTTGGAGTCAAAGAGAAGGCCACCTACCACTTGCTACTCACCGCGATCAAGGCTAGGGAAGAAGAACTAACGGAAGATTATAGCGATTCACATCGTTTCTCCGAGAAGGTGATCTTTTTTTTTTCTTGACTCATTATTTTCAAATTCTACTTTCTTCGTGAGAAATTGTTCAAGCAAGAGATTGTGTCTACTTATCTCCATCCATTAGTATTCGTAGGAATTGTTACTTCGTTGCTTTTGGATCTCTTTATTAAGCAAAGGTTTAGTTGGAAACTATCACCATGTGTAGTTTCGCCTAAACAGAAGTGACCGTTTATTAGTTTTACTTGTTGTTTTAATCTCGAATAACAAAATCTAAAATTGATTTTAAAATATTTTGTGCAAATTTTTGAATTTTGCATATAGTTCTACATCAGCTTTTCTTTTTGTTTCTTCATGTACATACTTTGTAACATTTTTAATATCACTAGCTATTTTTTATTGAATATAAAATATAAATATCACGCATATTAAAATTGCATATTATATACTTAGTGTTTGTTCTACTAATCCTAGGTCATTTATCTTCAAAACATTTTCTCCTTACTTCTAACATAGAAGTATATTAATGCATCATATTTTTACACATGGGTTTCTGGATTTAAATCTTACATAAAGAGATTATTTACAAGTTCTTTTACTTCCAAAAAGTTATTCAATCAAGAACAACAACATAATGATCATCAAAACTATTATCAAGGAAAAGAAGTTTCTTTTGTACAGAATTTCATCTTCACCCATCTAGGCTACCTTCCTATGTGGTAGTCAGGTTCAAAAAATAATGAACAAAAGAAAACAAAGGACTACCTTCTATAGCTGAAACAAAGGATAGAAAACAAAGTTCTACAGAATCATAAGAATGAGATTATGGTGTACAAGCAGAAGCTCTTTACTCACATGGGAAGACGAAGGAAGCATGGTAATAATAACATCACTTGACTCTGCCACTTTAAAAGGTGTTTCTACTGTGGATATTCCACAATCTGAGAACTTCTTCATAGCAGCCTGGTCACTGCAAAAGATCCCAACCACAGTTCTGTTTTATTCTAAAAACAAATATGGAAATGATATGATACCGCGGAAAGTATGGTTAAAGCTGACATGTGCATATGTGAAAATATATTATCTAGTTCGATAAGCAGTTACATTTCCTGTTAAAATGTATGTCCAGCCATATCAAAAGCACATCTCGAATCCCAACACATATGAAAAAATCATCTACGAAACTTTTAAATTTTAGAAAGGAGCTCAATCGTGAATCAAATATCTTATTACTAACAACATACGCATAGCCTCATTTTGATCAGATAATCAAAGCCTAAACAATTAAAACAAAAAACGATTGAGTATATTGCCTTTGATTTTACTAGTATGGTTGTTGGCTTAAAGATGCAATAGCACATACATTGTGATTTACGAGGAACATAGAAGGAATTGTTTAGAAAAATATTTGTTGCATGGTATCAAAAAACTGCATTCTTAGTACCAAAATATGCATTTGCATAACAGATAGCAACCCATGAAATTTTGTTTTGTGTGTATGCATTATAATTAGAGAAACAGTTCATTGATCTCATTCTGATATCGGAGGTGCCCTTACAAGATTCAAGGAAATAACAATCTTGTGCAAAAGTATATAAGAACCTTACATGTCATTGACAGTCAGTTTGTATCCAGCCTTAATTAAATTATTAGCCATATGGAAACCCATATTCCCTAGCCCAATGAATCCAACCCTCTGCAAAAAAAAAATACAAAAAGTAATCAATAGTAAGCAGAAAGTGATAGAAACATATATTCTAACATATTAAAGCATCCTTCTGCGTCAAGGAAGAAACCAATAGATTTATCAGCAACACAAGCAAAGAGCAAATATATACCCCAGAGTTATAAGCTGTAGAATAAGTTTAAGAAAACTTAAAATTTCTGAGGGCACCAAAAAATTTTTAGCTACTTCTGCTCTAATGCAGGCAACTTCAAGTGGAACAAGATGCTCTGAACTGGGTCGGCCAACTCTCCAAAAGAAGAAAGCTACGCCAGAAAATGCTATCAGTTACATCAAAATGGAAGATAATTTTTTAAGAAAGGCGCCTTTTGTTCGCTTACGAACTGGATTTAGGTAATATGCCTATCAGGTATTATCCAAAGTAGTGTTACTACCAAATCGCCTGAAAAGAAAGCGGGAAAGAGTTTTTTCGAAGAGAGAATAAAAATATCACGAGCCTCTAATTGAGCTGGAACAGCGTTTGAAGAGAATCCACGAGCGGCAGAGGATGATAGCATCTTTTCCAGGTACGAACTCCGATAGCAGCTCGAAAGAACCATCCTAGTCCGTGATGCAGGAATCGCCATTACTGTTTCAGAAACAAAGCTGCAAGTCTTCTCATAGATGTTCTAGTTCTGTAGGCTGGCACCGGAAGCCAAGAACACCCGAAGAAACCATTATCTTAATACCTACATTTGTTTTTAGCGATACCATTTTCTGCGGGAAAAGCTCTTCGGCGAGGTTGGAGCTTTACTACTATAACAGGAATGCCCAAGCAGCCGAGCATAGTCAGCACACCATGGACGGATTGGACTTTGTCGTGTGCGGAAAAAAAAAAACTATCATTCGTTTTTGGGTAATTTACATACATAACACTTTATAATATCATATTTATATATCTAACACCTAAAACTTTAATATTACATGCATACCACCCTGTATTATTTTAATATCAAATATACCACTTATATATTTTTCCTACCACTCATATATTTCATTTCTACCACTCATGTTTGATATGAAAATGAATTATGGGTGGTACGCATGTAATATTAAAGTTTTAAGTGTTAAATATGTAAATAGAGTAGTATAAAGTGGTATGTATGTAAATCTCCCTTCGTTTTTTTAATCAAAGCAGTCTTCGTTTTCATCCATTTCTTGTCATCCAAATTAATCTTCATTTTCATATAACTTTCCTATTCCAAATTAGTCTTCATCTTCAACGAATTTTCCTCTCTTTTTTTTTTTAACAGCTATGGAAAATTTATTGAGCTAAAATCTTAAAAAATATTATGCTTTCGTGGTATTTCATTTAAAAAATGATAGCTAATTTTCAGCCCTAAAATTTGAACATAAACTTTCTGGGCTGAGTTGGTCGGGCTGGCAAGAAAAAAATTAAATAAGAAATAGAAATGAATATCCACGAGTACATGCATCACAATTTTATTGAAGTCCAGACAAAGAGTTATATCCGGACTCCGCACAGAATAATTTCTCCATTACTTGGGGGTAGGGGAGTCCAACTTTTATAAATTGTTTGGAACAATTTTATTACTAAAAGCTGCTTTTAAAAATAATAAGAAAGATGTTTCAAATAAAGCCTAAGAGATTTTGAATTTAAAATTTTCGTATGTGATTTGTGTATAAATTTATCTTAATCTTTCCAAATGTCTAAAAAAAAAACTTGTAATAATTAATTGGAATAATACTTTTTTTTGTAAGTAATTGAAATAATACTTAATAAGTTCAAAGTTCAAACAAGTAATTTATGCAATAAAAATTAATTTTATAAATAAAAACAAACAAATAGTTTAATAAATTCAGAACTATTATTTAATTATTTAACACAATTAAATAAGATAATTAAAAAGTCATATGAAAACTTCTATTTCTTACACAATCAATATTAAACTAAAATTTAGATATTGTTTGATTTTTAAGAAAAGAAATATGGTGTAAAATAAAAGAAATTTTAAAATAAGAGAGACAGTATTTTACTTTCTTGAAGGTTTATAAGAAATTATAATTTTTTTAATCAAATAATATATAGTATATAAATATAGATAATATATTTCATAGAAAATATGGTATTTTGCAAAACAATTTCTATTAAAATTTACTTAAAAATAACCCAAAATAAGGTATAAATTTGATATCTTAATATTAAAAAAAATATATTATTCCAGAAAAGATTGCTAGCCCTTCAGGTTTAAGTAGTGGATGATTTTATTTTACAAAATTCAATTATTGGGCCTCACACCATGCTAGTTACTAATGTTCATTTTTTGTGATGATCGATGGGGAGCCTAAGGCTTTCTAACCACTCTAAAAGTAATATCCGACAAGGATGCCTTATTCTTACTTACATTTATTATGGATGCTTTCTCTAGGTTGTCTGATGCTCTTTACCTTAAATTATCTTTCAATTGCATCAATAGTAAGGACTCTAAAATCTAACATCTTATTTATGCACATGATTTATTAGTCTTCAGTAAAGCTGAGGGCTCACTATCATCTAACTCGACTCTAATACATTTAGGAATGCTGTTGGCCTTAGCGCAAATGTGAACAAATCGGCCAAATGCTTTTCTAAATAAGTTCATACTTTATTGTAGGACCATTATATGAGCTTTCACTACACTTACCTCATCTCTTCTTATGACTAATAACTAGTTCAAAATTAATTATGGAAAAGCTTTACTCTTAATTTGATGCGTGGAAGCAAAAAAATATTATCATTTGGTTGTAGATTCCAATTAGTTATAGCTACCATAAGAAACTCTTTCTATTATTGGTTTTGATCGATTTGCCTTCCTAAAGGCTTTTGAAGAAAAATTACAAGTCTTATCAACAATTTCCTACATTACGATGGGGTGGATAATAACCTTCACACAATTTCTTGGAAAATCATTATCTTACCCCAAGAAAATAGTGGTCTCAATCTTCCTTTTTTTGGATATTGTAAAAGCAAATTTAAATTCATCTAGAGGCTATATAATACTGACTCTCTTTTTTATTAGTGGTGTTCTAATGCCTATGCTTCCCTTTGGAGCAAATCAAATTATAAAACCTCCATTTTTTAAGAAAGCCTACAAAATTTTGCTTAGAAAATCAAGCACCAACTCTCCTTCAATGTTCACAAAAATAGTAAACTATTCTTCTTTTTTATCCTTAGCTAAATAGAGCAACTTTTATTGAAAATTTTGGAAACTATGTGGTTGAGTGGGTTGATTGCAATATGGATGCTAGGTGATTATATTACTCATATAAACCATTGCTTGTTAATTTGTGCTAATAATTACTACCACAACAAATTCTTAGTAGTCATGTTCTGCAAATTTCTTATACTACTTGCTATAAAATGGAAAAGAATGTTTTCTCCAATAAGCACCTTTATATGATTCTTTACTCTCAAACTCATCCTATGCATTGGAAGAAGCAAGTTTGGTTTAAGGGTCATGCAATTAATTTTGCTTTTCTAAATTGGAAAATTCTTATTGGGGTTAAAATCAAAGACATCCTATAGACCCATGGATTAACGGAGGTTCATACTCTCTCTTTTTTTTTTCAAATGCTATAATGAATCACATTCATATCTTTTTTTTTTTACTAGTCTTTTTAAAAAGAGGATCTTAAAAAGTACATTCTGGTGAGGGATTTCTTTCGCATGGCACGTTATTTATCCCATGTTCTTTATTATGTTGAGAATGTCTCTTACAAAATAACAAAATAACAAAATAACAAAAAAAATATTATTTTCTTGTTTTCTGTAATACGGACTACTCTATATAGCTTGAGCAAAATAATAGATTATTTAGAGTGATGAATAGTAATTTGGGCATTTTATTAGCTATTATTCACATTGTTATTCATCTTCAAAGACAATGCTAGCTATTTAGAGATGAAATTCCATCGTGCACTAATCTTCTTTACTCATGTGACTTTTTATCTCTCAAACTCAATGATATCTTAACTCAATTGGCTATCAATATTTTACCTACCAATAGTTTGTTTGTTGTTGTCTTATTGCAATCTAAGAGAGCTTTATTATGTCTTAAGCTATTCTAAACCATCTACATGATTATGGTAGTGTTAAGATTAGTTACCAATGGCTTTCCAAATGATAATGATGGAGTTTTTTTATTTTTTTTTGTTAATTTATATTGCTTTGTAATGTTCTTAATTACTGCTATGATAAGGACTTATTCTTATATGTGCTTCAACCACACATCTCCTGCCTCCTATGTGCCTCGCTTGAATATAAAATATTTTTAGGTCTTACACCTAGATTTATATGATTATCTTTCTTTTTGGATAGTTTCTTATTGCTTTGATTTTTTTTTTTCGCCTAATGTATCTCCTTTTTACAAATTTTCATCTTTCCGTTCGACCCATTAAATATAATATCTTTGTATTTTTAATGACTTAATGGTATTGGATGGGCTTGACCTTTATTTCTCCGCAAAAAAAAAAAAAGTTATGTTGCAATGATCTTATTGATTACATCACTTGAGTTTGCTTATATGTTAAATATAATTGTTAATTGTTATTTCTTTCTTCAAATTTATTATCAATTATTTCATAATAAATTAAAATGAAATATAATTGTTGTCAAAATAATTTTTATCATAAAGATGTATTTATTTTAAATTTTATGGATAATAACCAAAAAACATATAAATTATAACCAAATCTATGCAAAAATTATATGATATTTGTTATCATTAATTGTTAAAATAATCAAATATATAAAAATATTCAAAATAATTTTGAAGTGTTTTAAAGTGATAAAAATGATTATTTTTAATCAAAATCCAAACATGATCAGTGAATTATGTATGAATGCATGCTATGGAATTGATTTTCTTAACTAATCATATTTTCTAGAACATTAAAAAATGGGATTTTGGAAGCAAAATTTTGGACAAATGCATTTTGAGATGGAAAAATATACTAAAGCCTATAATAATTTAAAATGATTATTTTAAACTACCTAAAATTTTATCAAGCTATGTAGAGAAAACGAAGGAGAAAAGCTGGGAGATGGATCAGAGACGACGGAAACTCGAAAAGCCCTAAATCGCCAGAGCGGCTAGGGCGAACGAGTCTGAGGGTGATGAATGTGATCTGATATATATATATATATATATATATATATGAGGGAGTGTCTAGATATGTTTTAGAGTTTATAAGAATTTTAAGTGAGTAATAACAATGATAAACTAGACTACATTATACTTGCCATAGTTTAGGATATTTTGAAAACATAGGTGTATCTTACATTTTTTTAAAGAAAGGGTAGTGATCAACCATGGAATGTTAGTGGAGATGGATGAAAAGATTGTGCAGTAAATGAGGGTTAGAATTTTGTTATGAAAATTATGCAACTCATTGAAGATGCAAAGGCTGGATAATATCATCAAATAAGGTTTAAAGATTAAGCACTGCAAATTTTAATCTAAAACAACATTAAACTCTTCATTACTGATGCCATAATATTCATAGATGTTTTATAATACTTGAATTTAAAACATAATCGAATGAAGGGAGGAGTTGAGGTCGACCCACTTAAAGAGATACAAATGGATAATAATGCACCTTTTAGAATAGTGCAGCTACTAATTTCAATGAGATTGTCAACCATGACTACTTAGAATTTAATTTTTAATCAATAATTTCATTTAAATTCAATTTAATATTCTCTCCATGTAATTCCCCTATAATTCAAATTTTCAAAATTTTGAATTTAAATTTTCAAATTTTTGTCATGTTTAAATCAGAAAAAATTGCTCGCTAATATATTTTACAAAAATCATGACAAACATAAGAAATATTAATTATAATTAAAAGTTTTCAATTAGTTTCTTATTTTAGCTGCTTGTTCGGCTTCATCTTGTTTTGTTACATGGGCTCTTATCATTTGTTCAATCTCATCACCATGTGTTCCTTCACTTGGTTGTCAAAACTCTATCATGCAAATATGGAGTTTGATCTACAAAGAATGCCTAAATGTAGGTGGAATATCTATTCATGAATTTTTTTATGGTGGAACTATATAGTATATAATGTTATAGAAGAATGTGAGGATGATGGTTTATTGGAAAAAGGGCAAGAGGAGTGGATGGCAAAGTAATGGAAAAAAAAAAAGATTCCTTTAGATTCTCCCCAAAGAACATCGACAAGATCATAAGAAGCTAACTATGAATGTTGTGGAATCACAAAATTTATAACTTCACCATAACATCACTTGTGAAACAAATGTTACAAAATAATTATGACAATGAATCTCAGGAACTTTTGACGCTGATATCAAATTGGATGAGAACCCTGCTGAATTGAAGGTTACCAAAGCTTTAAAATGAATTATAAGATATCCTTTTATGTGGTTAAAACACTCAAGAAATTTGGCCTTGTGGATGGAGAAGAGGAGGCATAAAATGGCAATCTAACCAGGCTTGAACAACACCAACCCAAGAGCAAATTTTTTCAAGTTTGAGAATTTTGTTATGGGATCTATGTGTTGAACTTGTTGCTAAAAACTTTTGTAGTTGATAGAGGGGAATGTCTAAATAAAATTTGAAGTTTATAAGATTTTTAAGGACTTTTAAGTGGATAATAATAAGGAAAATCAAGACTTGATCACCCTTGGCCTAGTTTAGCCGATTTTGAAGCGAGTAATAATAAGCATATCTTCCTTTTCTTTCTAGTAAAAAGGATAACATTCTACCATGGAATGTTAATGAAGATGTATATGAATAGCTACACAACAAAAGAGGATTAGGTGTCTTTTTCAAACAATAAGCACTTTAAATTTTCATATAAAGCATCATCAATCCTCACAATATTCATAGATGTTTTATAATACTTGAATTTAAAAATAAGAAAAAAGAAGAATCTCCGACGAACGAAAGAGTTAGGGTCTAACAACTTGAGTTGAGTTGTGAAGAACTAATTATGCAACTTTTGTAAAAATGTTACTACCACTTTCAATGAAGAGTCCAATCATAAATAGTCAGAAATAAATTCTTATTTTATTTTTTAACTATCAATTCTATTTAAATTTTGTTTAACATTCCCTCCATATAATCTCTTCACAATTCAAATTTTAAAAATTCAAAATTGCAAACATTTGGATTTTAATTTTTCATATTTTAGTAATGTCTAAAATAGAAAAATTACTCACATGTGCCTTTTAAAATAATCATGATAAAATATATATATATATATATATATATATTATATATTATAAGTCTTCAATTGATACATTGCCCTAGGTTTTTATTCAGCTTCACTTTATTTATTCACTTGGGCTTCTATGACTGATACAATGTCATCACTTTGTGCTTCTCGTACTACATTAAGGCTTAGTTTGGAATGGCTTTTTTACTGCTTTTTAAAACGGAGTTTTAGTACAAATTTTTTTATTTTTATACTAAAACTCCGTTTTAGAAAGCAATAAAAAAACCGTCCCAAACGAAGCCTAAGTTTAATTACAACACTCAAATTCTCCTTTGATATGATCGAAGGGTTAACTTTAAGGCTTCGTTTAAGATTATTTTTTTACTGCTTCATAAAATAACTTTCTATAAAAAATTAAAATTTTTATGCTGAAAAACTGCTTTAAGAAGTCGAAAGAAAGTCGTCCCAAGTAATACCTAAGCTTGGAAAGTGAAGATATTATTATATATAATGTATGAAAATTTGTATTAAAAAATTTAACCAATTGAAGACACAATTATACATAATTGATGATTCGAGCTTTTTTTATAAAAATTTTTATTACTTTGTTTTTCATATAACATCATAATTTTTGTTTGATTATTATTCTTCAATATCAAGAAAATTGCCCTAAAAAGTTGCTTTCTATAACAGCTTTTAGAAAAATTACTTTCTTCACAATAATTTTACAGACACTTTGAGAAAAAACTGCAACATCCCAAACGGACCCTTATGCTTCATTTGGAATGGCTTTCTTATTACTTTGAGGTGCTATTGTGCTAATGATGGACAAGCAGTCAAGTTTCAATAAATTACACACAAACAAACAGAAACTAGCAAGTTTTTTTCAACAATCAACTTAGCAAAATTAACACCAGGAAGCCTTTAAAAAGCAAAATAACACTAGACAAATATTAGTTCCCACTTACAGAAAGACAAAATCAAAGCTTCACAGTAGATCAGAAAACAATTTTAACACCACTACCAGATCAAAAGTAGGTTAGAAGGACAAAACACACAGAGATGCCAGGTCGGTTGCCATCACTTAGCCAATGACCAGTTTAAGCAACGAAAACAATTAGCAACCTTCTCTTAAAAGAAAAAGAAAAATGATTTACAAGATTCAACTTAAATGTATCCTGGCTGTTCAAACCAAAGGGCAGCAAGAGAAATTGGATTCATCCACCTCGATTGAAGGCTTAAGCTTGTCCGAGTCAATACGAGATCTTCAGAAACAAGTCCATGATGATATATGTACACAATATTCCTGCGGCTCCTGTATTATGAAACAGGACAAAGCAAAGTGAGATGGCAACTGCAAGTGTTTGTCTTAGGTTTTGTATGGGACGGCTTTCTTATTGTTTTTTAGAGTAGATTTTTGGTATAAAAATTTCTTAAATTAAAAATTTGTATACTAAAAAGTTGTTTTAGAAAGCAGTGAGAAAGCTGTCACAAACGAAGCCTTAGCTTTACATGTTGATTCACCGCGTATTGATGAATCTCGGTCTCCATTCTGATCTTCTAATGATTGTGGGATTATCGTCATCAACATCATTACTCTTATCCAAATTATTTCAGTTGGCTTTATGCATACTAATTCTCATTCATGCATGTTTAGCGCAATGAGATGCTGAATTTATTCTTAGATGTTTGTCCCTCTTTTTTTTTTTTTTTTTCAAACTACTTGATATGTAAGGTTTGGTCTATTATTATTTTTTAATCCTGCTAAATTAATTTTAACTAGTTTTATTCTTGCATCTTCTTCCTTTTATTATAGAAGCCCAAGCTACCTAAATCTATTTTTCACCATCTTATATTCAATAAATTCTGCTCCCACCATATCTTTAGTATAGTCATATCTCAATTTATCATTCCTAGTTACCAGCTAATTGCTCTTTTTTTATATAACTAACTTTTATCTTCAAGTTCCTTGGCATTCTCTTATCCAAAGTATTACTGAAACATTTCTCTATTAATCACTCAGTCTTAACTCTAAAATTATATCTTGAGGAATATCATCATTATTCTACATAATAAAATCAAGAGACTGTTACGCCGGCCCAGGAGGGGCCGGCTGGACCGGTCCGGGTCTACACCCGGCGGAAGAAAACAAGGAGGGGGTGGGGGAGGGGGGAATCCTAGGGGGGCCACGTGGGCTGAACGCAAGGGTGGGAGGGAAAATTTTTGAATGCAAGGGTTGTTTAGGTATTTTGTATTTCTCCATTATTGTTAATTAGGGGATCAGGAGGGAAGAGGGGAGTATCTTGAATTTGAATGAGATTTGAGATCTAGGATTTGGGTTCTTGGGCTCTAGGCTTTGGCTAGAGATTTTGGAGAGATTCATTCCTCTCGAATTGAAGGAAAATTGTATCTTGCTTTGTGTTCGTGTTTGTCATTTGAATCGAAGCTTTCTTTGGTGTTTTCTTCCTCATCCTTATTGTTTAGTGCGTTGAGTTCTTGCTGAATTTTATTAAAGTCAGCCCTTTGCTCACTGTTTTTACTGATTCTTGGTAGGATTGCTTGCGAACTCAAGTATTACCCTTGTGGTTACTTGCGAACTCAAGTATTTCCTATAAAATTGGTATCAGAGCGTTGTCTTGGGACCATCCGCGGCTAAAATTCAGAAATTTCAGCAAGGAACCTTCTTCCGCAAGAGAACTTCTCGGCAACCTTGGGAGAAAAGATGGCCGGAAGAAAAGTAGAAGTTCTGGAGGATGAAATCGGCCAACTGAAGATCGATTTGGAAGAAAGAACTGCTGAATTTCAAAATCAATTTGCGTCCATCCATGAAAAGATGGATGGGAGGTTCACTGCATTAGAAGAAATGATGAAGAAGATGTTAGAGGGCAAACAAAATCCGACGACATCGAAAGCAAGGGAAGCCACCGGTGACATTGGGAGATGCGGGAACCAGAACCCATTGAGGGGGAGGGAGACTACGGAAGTGGAGATCCTTGATGGGAATGACGGAATGCCTCCGCTAGGACCGCTTTCTAGGAAGGAGATGAGCATGTGCTATGAGAGAAGGGGTGCTGAATTTTTTGGGAGAAGGGATGAGTTCTACCGGCGAGGTGCTGAGGAGGAGAGGAGAAGGGAAGAGTATGAGGAAGGGCATGGGTACGATCGGCGGAGGGAAGGTCGTGACCACTGGGGAGCTTTCCCCCCTCGAGGAATGGGAGGTTATGGAGGAGTTAGGGGAAACGGGGGAGATCCGAGGGTGAGGAAATTGAAGATGCTCATCTTTGAGGGCAAGGATGCACATGGTTGGATCTACAAGGTGGAGCGGTACTTTGCGATCAATGGGTTGACAGAGGAGGAGAAATTGACATTTGCAGGATTGTGTTTGGAAGGGAAAACATTAGCGTGGTACCAATGGCGGGACATGAGGAGGCCCATTCGAAGCTGGAGGGAGTTCGAGGACTGTCTACTGAAGCGTTTTCGAACCAATAAGGGAGGAGATTTCTAGCAATTCTTTGCCCTGACACAGGAGGGGACCGTAGCAGATTCTTGTGACAGGTTTGAGTACCTCGCGGGCAGATTGGATCATCTTTCTGAGACCGTGCTGGAGGGGAACTTCATGAAGGGACTTAAACCGGAGATCAAAGCAACCGTCAGGGTGATGAGACCACGCAACTTGGGGGAGGCCATGGAGTTGGCACAGCTGGTGGAGGACCAAAAGCACCTGGAGAGGGGAGCTCATGGCAGTAGCTCTGGGGTATCCTATAGGATGATGACTACCTTCCTAGTCCCCAAAGGAGCTGCACAGGGAGTACCACGAGAAGCACCAAAGGAGAGGGCAGAAGGAGGGGTGCCTGGAGGAATTTTAAGAAGCTGACGGAGAAGGAGATCCAGGAGAAACGGGTTAAGGGGTTGTGCTTCAGGTGCGACGAGAAGTACATGCCAAGGAATAGGTGTAAGGACCAAACTCTTCAGGTTCTCACCGTTTGTGATGACGAGAAAACTGAAGAGGGAGGTGAGAGCGGGATAGTGGAGGAAGAAGAAGAGAAGCTACATCTGAACATAGCTGAGGTTTCTCTAAACTCTGTGGTGGGATTCACATCAAATCACATCATTAAGGTGAGGGGAGAAATAGGGGATCAGGAGATGGTGGTGTCGATCAATAGTGTGGCCACACATAATTTCATCTCTAACAAGATTGTACATCTGTTAGGAGTGAAATTAGTGGACATGGGAGGATATGGAGTGATGATGGGCATGGGGTAGGTGGAGATGGGGAGAGAAATTTGCAGGGGAGTGGTACTATCCATTCAAGGGATCCGGGTGAGGGAGGATTTTCTTCCCTTAGAGTTGGGGAGTAGCGATGTCATCATGGGGATGAAATGACTTCAGACTTTGGGGAAGACCAAAGTTAATTGGGGCGCTCTGAGGATGGAACTGAAGGTGGAAGGACAGAAGATGATGATCCAGGGTGATGTGGGGCTATCTAGGACAGGAGTATCTCTCAAATTCATGATCAGATCCATACAGGAGGTGGTAGGTGGATATTTAGTGGAGCTGCAATGCTTGGAGAGGGTCAGTGTGGGGGAAGAGGGAGACATTCCACCGATGGTGCAACCACTCATACAGTAGTTCAAAGAGGTGTTCCAGCCACCACAAGGCTTGCCACCCCCAGAGAGCAGGAGCACACCATCCTTTTGAAGGACGGGGTGTCACCGATTAGTGTTCGACCTTACCGCTACCCCCAGATTCAGAAAGATGAAATTGAGAGGCTGATCAGGGAGATGTTGGAGGCGGGGTTTGTCAGACCCAGTGTGAGTCCTTTCTTCAGTTTTGTCTTACTCGTCAAAAAGAATGATGGGAGCTGGAGGTTTTGCATGGATTACAGGGCACTAAACAAGGAGACAGCACCAGATAAATTCCCCATTCTGGTGATCGATGAGTTACTAGATGAATTAAACGGAGCCGTAGTATTTTCCAAGATGGACCTGAAGTCTAGCTACCACCAAATCAAAATGAAGGAGGACGACATACAGAAGACGACATTCATAATGCATAAGGGGAACTACGAGTTTTGGTGATGCCGTTTGGGCTCACTAACGCTCCGGCTGCCCTTCAGTCCTTGATGAATAGAGCATTCCGTCAGCATCTGGGGAAGTTTGTGTCAGTCTTCTTTGATGACATCTTAGTGTACAGCCGGACGGAGGAGGAACACTTGGAGCACTTGAAGGAGGTTCTTAAGATCCTACAACCTAAAGAAGTGCAGTTTCGCCCAGTCCATGGTGGAATATTTGGGGCATGTGGTATCTAAAGAGGGAGTGGCGGCCGACCAGTCAAAGATTGAGTCAATGCAGAAATGGACTCTACCTAAGAACATAAGGGAATTGAGGGGTTTCCTATGATTGATTGGCTACTATAGGAGGTTTGTGAAGGGATACAGCACCATCGTCTAGCCCTTTACTGAAAAACCGAAGAAGGACAACCTTCTGTGGGGAGAGGCGGCAACAACCCAAGCTTTTGAGAGGTTGAAAAAAGCTATGACGACAGTCCTAATGTTAGCTCTTCCATATTTTAGTCAGATCTTCATAGTGGAGACCGACGCGTCAGGATATGGCTTAGGAGCAATGTTGATGCAGAATAATAGGCGGACAGGCCTATATCCTATTTCAATCAGGTGCTATCGGCCAGAGCTAGATTGAAGTCAATATATGAGAGAGAACTGATGGTCATAGTCTTGGCCATTCAGAAATGGCGCCCTTTCTATTGGGTAGGCATTTAATTGTTCGTACAGATTAGAGGAGTCTGAAATACTTGTTGGAGCAAAGGATGATGATCGAGGAACATTAGAGGTGGCTGTCAAAGCTATTAGGTTATGACTTTGAGATCCAGTATCATCCTAGGGTGGAAAACAAGGCAGCTGACGCCTTATCCAGGTGTGTAGAGGAACTTCAGGAGGTGGCAGTTTCAGTACCACTGATGGTTTACTGGGGGGCCATCAAGGAGGAGAGCATGCAGAACGAAGAGTTGAAGAAGATCAGGGAAAGTTTGAAGAAGGACAGTAGCAGCCATTCAACTATATGGAGGGAGAGAGGCTATTATACCATGGAAGGTTTGTAATGCCACAAACATCCGTACACATTCCTCACCTATTGCAGGAATTCCATGGCAGTGCAGTTGGAGGACATTTAGGAGTACACAAGACATATAGGAGGTTGGCATTGAAGCTCTACTGGAAGGGGATGTATAAGGATGTTGAGGAGATGGTGGCAAGGTGTGAGGTGTGCCAGAGAAATAAGTACATGGCAATGGCGTCAGGAGGGTTACTTCAACCATTAGCACTTTCAAACAGAGTATGGGAGGAAGTGTCTATGAACTTCATCGACGGCCTACCTCGCTTAGAAAGATTCACAGTCATCTTAGTCGTGATAGATCGACTCAGTAAGTATACACATTTCATCCTTCTACGACACGCTTACACGGCAGTATCAGTGGCGGCAGCATTTATCAGGGAAGTGGTTAGATTACACGGGATTCCAGAGTCGATTGTGTCAAATAGAGACAAAATGTTCCTCAGTCAGTTTTGGAGAGAACTTTTCAGAATTCATGGCACAATTCTCAAGAGAAGCACCACGTACCATCCACAAACATGCGGACAAACAGAAGTGGTTAATCGGAACTTGGAAACATATTTGAGGTGTTTTGCTTCTGAAACATCACGGAAGTGGGCTAAATGGTTGTCCTGGGCGGAGTACTGGTATAACACTTCGTATCATTCGGCGTCCCAAATGACTCCTTTCAAGGTGTGCTCTATGGAAGAGACCCCCACACTTAGTACATTATGGGAAGGGAAATACACCCGTCTCTTTAGTCGAACAGTACTTAGAGGAGAGGGACCGGGCGTTGGAAGAGTTAAAGAAACATCTAGAGAGGGCACAACAAATAATGAAGAAGCGAGCGGATACACACGGAAGAGACATACAATATGAAGTGGGGGAGAAAGTGTTCTTGAAGCTAAGGCCCTAAAGGCTGAAATCAATGGCTAGCAGGAGGAACGAGAAACTGGCCCCGAGGTACTTTGGTCCCTATGAGATCTTGGGGAAGATTGGAGAAGTGGTGTATCGTCTGAAGTTACCCCCCTCCGCTACTATACATCCGATGTTCCATGTGTCACAACTGAGGAGAGCTTTAGGCAAGCATGCAGTTAGCGCCGAGTTACCAGCATCAATGACGGAGGATTGGGAAGTGATTTTAGAACCCCTGGAGCTTATGGGGGTATAATCCGATCAAGAAGGCAATAAGGAAGTACTAATTCAATGGAAGGACCTCCCTGATTTCGACGCGACTTGGGATCCGTTTGAAAGAGTGAAAGAGCAATTTCCCTCCTTTCACCTTGAGGACAAGATGAGTTTTTGGGAGGGGAGTAATGTTATGCCGGCACAGGAGAGGCCGGCTGGACCGATCCAGCCTGGACCGGTTCGGGTCTACACCCAACGGAAGAAAACCTGAGCGGGGGGGGCAGAAATCCTAGGGGGCCCACGTGGGCTGAATGCAAGGGTGGGAGGAAAAATTTTTTAATGCAAGGGTTGTTTAGGTATTTTGTATTTCTCCATTATTGTTAATTAGGGGATTAGGAGGGAAGAGGGGAGTTGAATTTGAATGAGATTTGAGATCTAAGGTTTGGGTTCTTGGGCTCTAGGCTTTGGTTAGAGATTTTGGAGAGATTTCCTTCCTCTCGAATTGAAGGAAAATTGTATCTTGCTTTGTGTTCGTGTTTGTCATTTGAATCGAAGCTTTCTCTGGTGTTTTCTTCCTCATCCTTATTGATTCGTGCATTGAGTTCTTGCTGAATTTTATTGAAATCAGCCCTTTGCTCATTGTTTTTACCGATTCCTGGTAGGATTGCTTGTGAACTCAAGTATTACCCTTGTGGTTACTTGCGAACTCAAGTATTTCCTATCAGAGACTTAAACCTATCACATCAAAGTTTACCCAATCTTTCCATAATATTGACTGGTAAAATAACTCCCACTAAAATTACATATGAACTAGTCTAAGCCTCATCTTCTAAATGTTTCCTATTGTGCTCATCCAGCGAATACTTCTTCAGACTATAAACAAGAACTTGATAATATCAACGGTAATGTTTTGCTGGTTGCAAGATACATACTAGGGGTGTCTTACATATGAACTAGTCTAAGCCTCATCTTCTAAATGTTTCCTATTGTGCTCATCCAGCGAATACTTCTTCAGACTATAAACAAGAACTTGATAATATCAACGGTAATCCGAATTGACACCCCTAATACATACATGGGGTTGTCATTGGGGAAAAAGAGATCAGGAAGAAAAAACAAGAAGATGGTGGTGGGGATTGTTTTTAGCTGAGAAGAAAAATCAACAACAAATTAAAAGAATGCTCAAATACAAATAGCATGTCGAAAAAAATTTGAAAAAACAGAAATATGTGGCAAGATAATCAACGTAGGCTTCGTTTGGGATGACTTTCTCGCTGCTTCTTGACGCAGCTTTTTAGGAAAAAAAATTAATTTTTTATCAGAAAGCTGCTTTAAGAAGCATCAAGAAAGCCGTCCCAAACGAAGCCTTAATTCCATGGCTTATTTTAAAAGCAAGCTAAAACAGGAGGATTAGCAGGATCAATAAATTAATAATAAGAGTAGAGATTGAACACCCTCTTTTGTTGATCTCAAGAAAGCAACTAACCTTTTGTGGCAAGAATTATTCAGCAGTAAGAAATCCTCATGAATCATATATCCTGATGGAAGAATAGGCGGTTTGCCTACATACAGGGCATTTAGGTGACACACTGTGCTGCACATACATGGCACACTGGACACAACAGACAAGATGACCACAGGGGACGAAGGCAGATCTCTTTCGCCTCATTAAACAAACCACACAAAGTTGCCCTTCTGGCACATCCCCTTCATCTGATCCATTTTCTAATTCATCAGTAACAGCACTTTCGACATCAGTCATCCGATGTCGATCTCGGCTTCGACTTCTCCGTCTCCATTCTTTCCATCTTCTCCAGTTTCTGCGATGTCGTTTCTTGAGTCAGATAAATATCGACTAAGCTTATAAAAAGTGACCATGCAAGCAACTATGTTTCACTCTGGATAACAAATTCATCCCAATTGCTTGGCTTTTTGTCGGATAAAATTGAATCAGGAGTGCAAGACAAATATGAAAGCCATTTGATCTATGACCACGTAATTTTGTCATGCAACAAATAATGAATTTGAGTTTTATTGTCGTATTTATAAATATATAATGTTTTGGAACATCTAACTTATAATTTGGCTCATTCGTTTTGCACTTCAGTCTTAAAAATGAGTCAATAGCTCCTGACAATTTTTCTTCTTTTTCTTATCATTAATAAATCAATACGAAGGTGAAGAAGAGTCAACCACATAGTGGACCATGGTAAAGAGGCAATAAACAGGAATATTAAGATATATGTTGCATTAAAAAGCGATTGGAATAATATCAGCTTTCAACCATGTATTGGAAGAGTACCAGACTTCAAACAATGTAATAATCCAAAGCCGGCATATACATTTTTAGAAATTTGGTTCAAAATTATTTACTATGATCCACTGTTTAGGTACAAAAATAGATGGATTTTGGTGGTGTACCTTGGCTAAAGGATATACTAACCCTTTTTTTGCCTTCTTTCACTTTATCTACCCAAAAAGAGGCACAGTAGCAGCTTACTGCTTAGTAAGAATGAATGGGAAAAAAGAACTTGTATTTTTGTAGCAAAAACAAGAATAATTTGTATAAAACCACCTATGATTTGATATTTTTCCAATAAAAGGGTAATATGTTTAAAATTTTGTAAATGAAGGTAAAAGTTTATCCTATTTTATAAATAAGGACAGCTATACCTGACATATATGCCAAGGTTTTCTTGATACCATAGGATGCATGGGTAATTTCTTGAAACATTTATATTACAACTAAACTGTATAATGAACCTTTGCATTACTACAAAAGTATCATCCAATTTGCAAGTGAGGCATAGTCGAAATATTGCCAAGTATGCCAAGGTTAACTGTCCTAGTTTACAAAATAGGATAAATTATTATTTCTGCTAATAAAGTTCTAAACTATTATCCATTTCACAAAAGAACTAAACTATAGGGAGTTTTATGCAAATTTCTCTAAAAATAATAATGAAACTTCAAAAACATAGGAACGCTTAGACCCTTATCCACCCGGGCAAGTAACCATTTAAAACAGTAAATAGCAAGATGTCTCCTATATGGCTAGAATAAATAGGATTAATTATTATGTGCGGACGCCAAACACCACAGGAGACCAACCAGAATGCGCCACGTAACCCCTTCGCTCGGTACCGCGGCTCGGTACTGCTAGGTACCGCTGGGTACCACTGACATGGCTCATTCTGATTGGTCTCCGGACTGCATTCTGCGTTCGGCCTCCGCACAGAATAATTTCTCCAAGTCAGATCCGTAAGTTAGATATCATCTAAGAAATCAAATAAAACTGCTTAAGTTAAAAAAAAAATAAATAAAACTGCTTAAGTTCAGCATGATCCTTCTTTACACAACCTTAAGATATAAAATAGGTAATATATCATGAATTTCAATTCCAAAGCATTAAACAATAAACACTTAATGCCATGTTCAGTTTTGGTTATAGCAACTATGGCAACCACTGGTGTGGAATTCCTTGAGCCATCAGCTCTGGAATTAATAAAAGTATAATATGACCATTTTCATATCTTTTATGAAGTGAAATATTTGGAACAACTAACAGTAATAACTAAAAAATAAGATGTTTGCATTACGAATCAATAGGCCGAATTATCATCATTAGCCTTATTTGAACCATTTGGGGAATCAATAAGCTGAATCAAAATACAAAATATAGCACAACTGAGAAAATTTACCTAAAAATGGTAAAACTCAGTAAACCAATGGAAAATGCTCCAAGTATAACACCACTCCAAAACAAGATCCTGCTGTTTGCAGCAAGACGTGCTTCAATTTCATCCTTCGTCATATCAGACCTACAAAATAGAACCAATTACATTCATGGTTGCACTCGAGTTACTAGCAAATCACTAGGGAAAATAATTTGAATGGAGCCTTACAAAAAGTATGGAAGATCTGGACAGGATTTCAACTCAAGAGCTCCATTTTGTGATCTGCATTTGCCAATTGCAGTCATCTCCTTGCCTATTGCAAGAATCTTTTCTTCATCCAATAATGCCACCTTAAAATACCAAAAAATAAATTAAAAAAATAATCCACAAATAAAAAACATATCTTAAAAGGAAAATGCCAGTTTCCGCTGGCGAACTCAGAAGAACAACTTACTGGATAACCATTCCCAAACATGGCCTGGAAGAAGGTGTAAGGTGTAGGCTGAATAGGCCGCAACTGATGATAAACAGTTGTGAGAGGAAGTGGATGGGGTGAACCATCAAGATTAATATGAACATACCCAGAATTAGGCCATTGACCACCTTCCACAAGAATAAATGGAACCTAGTAGGACATGAAATAACAGTTCACTACTTTTATGCATGAGGAAATACGTCAAAGCAAGGCTGCAAAGAGACCAGTTGTGCTTTTTGCTTACCGATCTCAGAGAGCTTGACCGCTGCTCTCTCCAAGATTTTGCAAAAAGAGCATGGAGATCAATACTCCATCCAAAGATACCTTTCCACTCATTGTAGAGGCACTGAATAAAAACAAAACCACGGATTTTGCATCAATATACAGCAGGAACAGCAAAAGCAAGGTTTCAATCACTAATTCACCATAGAAACAAAATAAATAAAACAATTTTAGTTAAATTTAGTTTAAATGACTGCGGCAAATCCAAACTTCAAATTTTTTTCCTAATCAATTGCTTTGACGAAAATAAACCATAGGATTCTACAACAACAAAAAGCTTTTTTACCACTACGTGGGGTCAGCTAAATGAATATCATAGGATCCTAATGATGCTAAACTTAAGATGGTCACACACCATATTCCCATAGTTCCAATATACTATATACAAAAAATAAGTGAAAATTTAGTGAAAAGTTGCAACAATTGAGTATATGTTTAAAAGAAAATGCATAAGATTTATAGAGCAAAGATTAAGTATATGATATGCAATTTTAGTAAATATAGTATTACCAACAATCAGTCAATATTACTAGATAATGAAGCAATACCTACATGTGTTATGTTTATGTATTATGGATCTATAATACAAAAGAATGAGAATATAGACTCTAATGCTAAGGCTAAGTGATTGTAATGTAGTCTTTTCAGAGTATTATATTATAAGAGGATATTACTGAGACTTAAATGTGAACTTTTCAAAGTTACAATTAGCTCGGCTATGTTGTATGGCCTAAGTGTTGGTAACAAAAAAGTTATTGATAGTCATAATGAGGGGGAAAAAAAGCTGGAACAAATGAAGTTGTAAAGTTCCTAATGACCTAGAGAGAGAATTTAACTATCTCAGTGAATTTAGTCCTGCCACATCTAAATAGAATGCAAGCTTTAGCCCATACATAGATCATATACATAGAGACCACAAAAATATCCCCAAGTATCATAATTGTTTTTTTGAACTAGAACATCTGCAACTATGCAACAACTATTCGAAGCTATCCTGACAATGAAGGAGAACATCTCCTCCAACTCAACACCATCGCACCACATATTGAACAAAATCTTACTTCCATCTCCGAGACTAAAATCTGAGCCAACTCGAATAATATCAGTAGCTTGCAACATGCCTCTCTCTCCTATAGTACTTCTTGTAAAACCCAAAATTTTCCGGTAAATTTATAGAATTTTATTTAATTAAATTATGCTGAAATATAAATTTATATGAAAATTTTCAATAAGTTATATTTCCTTTAAAGTTTAAGTATAATTACTTTTAAAATTAATTTTAAAACAGTTAAATTTTGTTAAGTAAATAGTAACATTAATACTAAAGTAATAGATTAAATAAAATTAAGTATTTTCTATTCCCTGAATAGTTGCTTGCAACGGCCGTGAGGTTGGGAGTTCAGCTATCCGGTGGGCCCTTTTTTTCTATCATTTGATGTTCACGCAAGCAGGAAACAAGGAAAGGGAAACAAATATTTTTCCACCCCAATTGATTTAAATTGAGGAGTTGAGGATCTTATTTTCATTATGATATTTCCTATTTTTCAAATATTTTTCTTCTACTTAATTTTCCTTTTAATAAGGCTTTCTTTTGCATTGTTTTGAAAGGATTGTCATTAGTTTCTTTCAGCTCTAGGACACAATGGAGAAAAAGGATTCATGTAGCCGACCCCACGTAGTGGGATAAAAGCTTGTTGTTGTTGTTGTTGGTGTTGTTGTAGCTCTAGTTTGTATTTGTTTTTATCTTTTAATGCAAATTGCATCTTCTCAAAAAAAAAGAAGGAAAGGGAATCAAGGGGCATTGTGTGCGGGTCTAGTGCGGAGCAGAAAGCTTCTAGAGCGGAAGTTTGAGTCTGGAATTGCTAGGAGCAGCAGGTGTTGGAGCGGGTAATGAATAGAGCAGAGGTTTTGGTTTTGCCATGTGATGGAGTTGGTTGATATTGAAGTGAGTTTTTGCCTTAAGTGTAGGGACTATATTCGGTAGAGGAAATAGCATAGGAAGGTAGAAGAAAATAAAAAGATAAATTGAAGGAAGAAGGAAATACAAAAGGCAAGAATGTTGAATGTAATATAGATTTTCATTTTGATGTAGAACGGGTAGGAGGCTTTGCTAGGGAGAGGATCTCTTCTCCAAAATCTGACAGCAAGTTCTGATTTCTTTGCCCAAAACCTGAGAAGAATCTCAGATTTTCTCTTGAGAGAGGAGGGGAAGTGAAAAGAAAAGCTGAGAAGAATGGTGGACAGCAGTTCCAGCACTTGGAAATTCTGGGCAGCAACTTGTAATGCTTGGGACGTTCTGGACAGCAGCTACCATGGATTCCAACCTTAGGATTGTGGGTGGGATCAATCCAAAAATCTGGCCAGCATGCAGGAGGCGGAATTTCCAGGGATTTCTCCCTAATGAGCGCCTGAGATATTGGAGGATGGAGTGGAGAATCTCGTGGACAGCTGTGGGGAACCTCAGGAGTTGATTTCAAATGCTTAGGTGGCAAATTGAATCAAAATCAAATTAAGGGGAGAGAGGAGAACTAGGGGGCAGCGGGTAAGAGAAAAGGGAAAGAAGGGAATTGATTTCCTAAGTCAACGATTTGATTTAAGAAATAATTGAATGCATTGGGGAATTTGGGAGATTCGGCCCGGTGGGAGTTACGGGAATGAAGAGGTGAATTACAGAATTAATTCCTAATTCCCATCTACAGAATTTGGAAAGTGAATAAAGGCTTAGAATTTTCGGTCAAACAAAATTCTCAGATTTTGAAATATTTCCAAAGAGAATAAATGGGTTTTAAAGAAGATTTTTAAATCCTAATCAAATAGAAATTGATTTGAATGAGGTGTTAAGACTTTCCTAAAATAGACTTTGTATATTAGGCAATATTTTGAATTTCGAATAATTTGAATTTGAATTCAAATATACTCCTAAATATATTAAGCCATATTAGGAAATAAATAAAAGAGGGGGAAATCAAAAAGGGGGGAAAAGGGGGAAGGTGGCCGACGGCTATGGGGAAAATTTGTGGAGCTTGGTATGGAGGTTTGGCCGAGGGGTTGAGAGGGGAGGAGGAAGAAAATGACTATTAGGAGCAATAAGAAGGAACAAAACAAAAACAAAAGATAGAAAATAAAAACCGCGAGCCTTAGACTCTTCCGAAGACTGACGGGTGATGCTTTGCCCTTCTCCAATGGACTTCAAGTCACGAGCCCGGACCCATCATGCGGCTGGTGAAAACTCTGATTCCTTCCCATAGGAATCTCGCTATCGTCCTCTCAAAAGAACACAAGTGTTGAACACAAATTTTAATATCAATAATCCATCCCTATTACAATAGCTTAAGACCCTATATATAGGCCACAACATAAGAAAACTCAAAATACAAAATTGCCCCTTGGGCCACAATCTCACATAAACCAACCTAGGGGTAAAACATGAAATACATCAAATAAGAACTAAAATTCCGAAAAATAACTCATAATTGAAGATTTAAATTATAGCCGTCGATTTACGACGCCTCTTGTGAAAGATGCGCCAAATCTTCGTACCGATGTCCGCATCACATTTATTGGTAAAAGTTTCTAAAGAAGATTATACTCAATTGTGTTAGGATTCAACTAGTATATGCAGAGGGAAGGTTTCGAAGTAATTTACAAAAGAAAAAGGGTGTGGAGGTGTCGGAATTAAGGATACAACTCATCAAAGAGATAAGAAATACACTTTTAAATTGAAAAAAACAAATGTTATTACTTTTAGATACGTATAATTATATTTGACTTAATTGAAGGGATAAAAGTATTAAGCTTATTAAATTTATTGAATATGAGTATACATTTAAGTATTCATGTATGAGCAACCACATGCACATTTGAATAATTGGAATTTAAAATAAGATGTAGTATGATTGTTTAATTTTTTTCTTAGATTGTAATATTTGGAAAGAAACTCATTATATTATGGGTTGCATACACATTCTTTTTATGCAAGAAGTATAGTAGATATATTTCTTTTTATGAAAGCATGAAACATAACAAAGCAAGTATGAGATCATAATTTTGAACTCTAATGAATATCAAATTAGGAAATATTGGCTATAAAAAGAGATAATATCTGCATCGCAGGTGGAGCAAAAGGGGTCAGAAAGAGGCAAAATGGACTTCTATGTAGTTCAATAATGATAACATCATGTTTATTTGGGCTCCATTAAACATTATTATCAAAGTTAACCATATGAAAAATGATATTCAAAACCTTAAACGGCTAATTATGATATCCTGTATAGGCTTCAAATAAAATAAAAGATGATCTTGAATATATTTTAAGGTGTTTAACAATTACCTTGTGAATTAATTTAGCATGATTTCATTTACATTATTCGCTATAATGTTTCATAATTTTTTTATTTGAATTGCATAACTTTATGAGCTTCATAGCTCATCATTTTTTATAATGGCTGTTGTTCCATAAAAAGACAAGGAAAAAGTGGAAGCAGATTAGGCTCAGGTTAATGAATCTTTAGGTTTTAATATTTCTTAATGTATGTGAGTCTACATTTGAGGTATGTAGATTAGTAAATTGTTGTGATGTTTTAGATTTTCTTAGTGGCTTTGTAATTATTTTTGTAATGCAATTGAAACTAGATGCTTCTGTTTATTTATAAAATGTGTTGTACTGTGGATGGAATATATATATGAAAATGATTAAAAACATTAGATGCTGAGAATTACAAATGTTATGCTTTCTCTGTTACACTCTACGTTGCTGATGAGGGTATCATGGGGTGTTACACTTATGCTTCATAACATGTGTCCATAGTCCTTTCTCTTGAGCATCAAGCTTCTATAGTAACTTCAAGTTGAAATCACTTCAATTTTCTTAGTGTAGGGTGGTGACAATGAGAATTTTTAAGCGGATGTGTGGAAAAATTAGGAAGGATAGATTGATGTATTGTCATTGAGAGTAGCACAACTTGAAGATAAGTTAGTCAAAAAGAGTTTTATGTGGTTTGGATATATACAACAAAGGATAGAAAATGTGATTATGAGCTATATTGATAACATTTATAATTGAAGGATTAAGGAGAGGTGTGGATCACAGTGTAACCTCGATAGAAATTATGCAAAAATATTTGCATTGAATATATTTACCGGAAAGACTAAGCAATATTATGCAATTAATTAAGAAATATTAATATTAATATTTTTCATTAATTTATAATAATGGGTTAATTGTTCAAAATAGAAAAGATATTGTTTCATTTATGTTAACAATAAAAATTTTATCGAAAATTTATTTGGTCGAAAATTTAATTGGAAAGAGATAGCACAACTAAAAATAGAAATTGAACTGAGATAATGTCGGTTCAATTGAACAGACATTAATAGATCGTTATGCCTTTAAGAAGGCAAAGGGGGAGGAGGCGTGCCAACAAAAGTGTGAAAGCATGTAGGGAAGGCAAGATCGGGATAGATAGAAAATGCGAGCATAAAAGAGAGGGGGGGGGGAGCGCAAGCAAGGGAGGGAGAGAGATGGAGTCTGATTGAGCAAAGGAGATCGAGAAACCACAAGGGCAAAGCTGCATGTGGGCTCGGCAGCCAAAAATGTTTGAAGACTTGAACTCGTGTGAGGAATAGGGTTAAGGAGAAGTTGAAACAAGCACAGGGTTGATTTTGGAAGGAGGGAGAAATTCCTAAAGCTTTTCTTTCTTCTTCTTCTATTGAAAGGCAAACCCTAACCTTAAATATTCTATGGTATGATTGAAATGAAATTAGATTGAGTTAGACTTCCCCTTACTGGATCAATGCATGTTAACTTATAAGGAACTATTTAGCTGATAAATTTTTTCTTTCCAGTTTTCAATCGAATGTATGCAAGCTAGATGTGCAAGTCTTTTAAGTGTGGTATAAGTATGACTTACTAATTATGGGGAAGTAATCTCCTTGTATTGGTATGCGATTTATTTTTTCTCATTTTGATACTTTCATTCCTTGTTTTTATTTCTTCTATATAATTTGATATCAGCCTGTTAACTCTTTTTTTTTTCAAATTTGGCACAAATGAAATTCTATTTATAGGAATTACATTATAATTGGTCATAACCTTTATGTGGTTCTAAATATCTTGATTTACATGATGCATATTAAACGCTAAATTTGTTGGATCCATATTTGTTTATGCTAAAAATTTGACGGACATATTTATGTTTAATCGCATCAAGCAGTAATATGAGCATAATTTATTGTTGTCCTTTTATTATGACCGTTTAATTTAATTTATAATTGCTATAACTAACAACATGCTTATTCATATGGTTTAGCATGGTTTCAAATTAGATTACAAATGTTTATTGATTTTACTTTATTGTAAAATCTTATTGATTTCTTTGAATTACTACAATCATTCCATTGCCATTTGAAATCTAATTCTAGCATTGAATGTTTACACTTTTTGAGAAAAAAAAAGTAGTTAAATTATTTGGTGGCCTGTGAGTTATGAATCCCTAAAATTTTTTGCAAGAATTCAGATCATACATCATATTAGTTTTATGAAGTAATCCTAATCGAAAGTTGTCCAACATCAATATCTCACCACAAATGATGCAACGAACAATGATATTAATTGGTTCATTGACAGCTTAGGGAAATGTCATCTTGATAACAAATTCCAAATGTTCGGTTCACTAACTACCAAAGTTTCCAGTTGTTAACATTTCAATTTACTCCAATATAGTCACTAATTAAACGACGGCTCATTATCCCATGATAGACACATCTACTCTTTAGCTATCTTCATGGACAAAATAAATAAGAGAAAGAAGAAAGTGACAACAATCTCAAATGATCATTCTGGATAATTATATGATCTTCAAATAGATAATGCTAAACAAATAAAATTTGATAAAATGCAATGTCCTTCAAATAACATTACAATCTAGATAAAATTCTATTTTAAATAGCAGTGAACCAGGAAAAAGTCTTTTTAAGGCTTACTTGGACGCTTGTACATAGCAACTATACTTTTGAAAATAATAATTTCAGTTTCACTCCTTTTGTGTATAAAAAAAAAAAAAAAAAACATCACTTTTGAGCGATTTTAAGGATGCTTTTAGAGCTAAAAAGCAAAATATTGATTACGAAAATAGGCAACAACATGGCAGAAACGAATAACTTTATTGTCTTCCAAAGCATACTTTCTACCTTCAAGCAGCTAAACGAGCATTTCCACTAAAACATAAATTTTACTACCTAAGCCCTTCCTTTTCGATGATGCTTAATTTGATTTATCCGGAATGCAAATAAACAACAATGTGTGCTGTCCAAGTTCTCGAATCTTTCACTAACTTATACACTTCCAGGCTCTAGCCTTAAGGAACTTCATCAACCGAAATTCCCCTAGCTATTCTTTAAGTCTTATCTAGTTTCTACCTTATCATTCTTCAGGTTAACCAATAGTGCAGAATCAAAGAGTACCGTTTGCGTCTGCTGTACGATGACAGCCCGCTCCCCAGATCCCTGAGAAATAAGTGCGCTTTGGTTTTTCGAGTTCATCCAGTTAGAATCAGCGGTAGGCTTCAGATGAACCTGGCCGCGAACAACGACCAGCTTGCCCTCGCCCTCGCATTCTCCGTCAGATGCGGCAAGAAGTGCCCGGAGATCCGATATTCGAGGCGAGGGTGCAGAGCGGATTCGGTCCAGGGAGGAGGATGATGTGAGATACTTGACCCAGGAGGTCGCTGCACAGATAGCAAGGCCTACTCCAAGGATTGCGCCGTCACCGGCCACCGCCACTCGCGCTACGGCAGCTGCTGCGGCGTGGTCGCGAGATGACATCGCCGACGACGAGCAAGATCGGATTGCGACCACCGGTGGCTACGAAGTTTGAGATAAATGGATCGGATTTACCGCGCTGCGCTGGCCGCAGCAGGTTTAGGTGTCTCGACTGTTTACTGGGTTTCCAAGCTAAGCGGGAGCATATTTCCCCATTTTCTGTCCTTTGATAGAAAGTAATTTTGTTTAGGTCACAAGCTGCCCATTTATGCATTTATCAAAACATCATTATTATTTATTCAAATAAAGTGAATTAGAATTTTTAATTTTATATAGCACACAATATACATATTTGGACAAATATATCCTTTATTTTTTATTTAATGAAATATATCATATTAGTTTTAATGAAAATGTTTTTTTTTAATTAAAATGTGAGGGATTCTTGGAACAATAGAATAATTAGAATTGTTTTCTTCGAAACATCTTTTTTCAAATAATTTTGGTGCTTGAGACGATCTGCCCTTTTTCTCATCGATCATCTCTAATTCAAAGCTTTCAGCAAGCTCTCTCAATGACCAGTGTCAACACTTATAAATAAGATTAGGGTTAATATATCTTTTTATTAAGATTAGTATATATTCACAATCCTGTCCAATGCTGTCAGTTAGGGAAGGAACTAAAAAGGGTCATTCACCCTGAATTTTTTTCCCTCAAAAAATAAAGATTTTAACTATTTTGTTCACATTCAATAAATGCAACTGTCCAAATGGTAGGAAAATTTTTATTTTTTTATTTTATACATAAGATTATGAATTTAACTATTTTAATTTGACCACCCTCAAAAGAAAAACTGATTCCACCCCTCATGTTAGTTCTCCTAAATTATAACAATAATGAAAAGAAGTAGATATGTTTGTAGATACCTTTACGTATAAAAATTGGGTTAATCAATCTCCGAAAGAGAAAAGTTCATTGAGATCATTTAATCATGATGATAGTTAATCCAGTTCAACCGTAATATGCTCTGATAGTAATTATGAATTATGTCGTATACAATAAGTCTTGTTATATCAAATTAAGAAAAAAAAAACACAAATTCTTAAATAAATGAAGTCTATCGTGGCTCTAAAAGGATGAGGAATTTATAATCCTAAGAGGAAATATTAACGCCTACAAAAAAATAGGTGAATATAATAGCCCAGATCATATGCACAACCAAGACTGTTTATTTAGACTTACAATATTATCTATATCAGTACCACCATTAACCTATCGTAATAGACCTCCAAATTTGTTTATTCATTCAAACCATGCCATTAAGAAAGCTATAAAATCCTAGAGGACATTAAATTGATGCAAAGCTATATATCATTAATGTAGGGGCTTTTTTAACAATATGTATTTTGTTATGTCATGATACCCATGCACATTAGCAATAGGGTCTATTACTTAGAAGTTATACTCCATGCCTCCTTAATGAGATACAATAAGAATAAATTTCAATTAAAATATTAGCCATGAGGCAATGTAATTTTAATTTTCAATTAAAAAAATACTTTGACCTAATGAAGAAGTTCAATACTAGTAGCAAATAAAGTAGCATGGCACTTTGTTGTGCCAACTGCCAACCAATAGTTATGCCTATGTTTGACATTTTAAATATTTTCGCAAGACCCCTATCAAGTGAAATAGCATATGGCCATGGGATGAGCACCTACAAAGGAAAATATTACTATCATAATTAAGAAAATTAGCCACTCCATTACATGTCAAGCAGTCTTAACTAACACATAAAAAGTTGTGTTAAAAGGAGTATATATTAAAATGACCTAATTTCATTGTAGCCCTAAAGTAATTAACAAAATTTTTGCTTATCACAAACCTAATGTGTGAAGAAGTAAAGTTATGGTTAAGGTTTAAGTCATATGACTATAATGGACTACCAAGCTAGTTAGTCTCATGGATCTAATAAACTCGAGCATATCATCTTAATCTTATTAGATTTAAAAATAAATATATATATATATATAGGAATTCAAAAGTTTTAAAAATATTGGCATTTTATATAGCTTACATTGTGAATTCAATTCTGAAAATTAATAAAAATATATATAGGAATTTAGAAGTATTAATAATATTGGCCTTCTATATAACTTAAATAGTGAATTCAATTTTGGAATTTGATTAAAGTGGCATGCCTCATGTTAATTATGGCACAATGAAATCAACATGCTGAGAGAATTCAATCTCAAGGTAAGAGTTGAATGTTATCTCATTGAAACATTTGTAACATAATAAGATTAGGACAACAAACTTAAAAAAAAAAGACCTATTAGTGGCTAGTAATTTCATTAAGCTGGATCTTAATAATAATATTAGGAAGGGGCCTCAAAGAGACTTGATTCAACTTAGATTTATCAATCTAATGTTGGTTTATTGAATCAATTGTGCTATAATGGAACCATCAAGACAAGTTGAATTAAATCTCAAGTTAATAGATGACTATTAGCGTATTGAATCAACCGTGGCACAATTAATTCAAGCAAATTAAGCTCAAAGGGTTCAATGGATCTATGGACATCTAACATTAACTCAAACTAGATTTAAAGGTTATACTAGGACAGGGTCTAAGAGATTTTATCCAACTTAGATAGTCGAGGTGTTGGACTATTGAATTATCATGATACAATATAACCAACAAAAAATTTAAGCGCGTAAACTATCATGAGGTGTTGGACTATTGAATCTATCGTGATACAATATAAAGTCTTTGACTCTGAAGGCTCTGGAGCGTACTAACTTATAAGCTTGATATATACGAGATTTATATAGCTTGAGATTATGTTGAGCTTGCAAACCCTTCTTCTTAAGAGAATCAAGTTCAACTATTGTACATCCAAAGAGATAATGACATTAACACCTCTTTTGTAGAGTGGATAGATTTGGGTCCTATATATAGTCTGGTGAGTTTGCAAGGCTTCAGTCAACTTCTCATGCCACTTTTATTTATTCTTATTCAAAATTTTATTTAAGAGTTGTAAAATTAACTTTGAACTTCTATAGCAGTAGAGTTCTCATCAATTAGCATTTTTGTACAAGCTTTTTTTGTGCACTCCTCAACTTAAAATACATAAAAAAGTCTTATAAACACCATTGGATTTTATTTTAAATCAACTTAAATCCTTGTTATTTTTCATCACCACCATGATCGCCGCGACTATCGTCGCCGTCGTAGTCATCCACCAACGTGACCACTGCCATCAACATTATTTAGAGCCGCCTCTATCCGCCACTATCATCAGTGTCATTCTCCTCATAGTTGTTACACTTTACAAAAAAATATTTTACTTTAAATTAAACATAAAAATAATAATATTTTGTATTTATTTTACACCAATAAATAGCCTATTTTATATTACATTTATTTTTTTTTTCACTTGGTTCATTGTATTTTATTTTAGGTTCTTTTTTCAACAAATTAGAAGTCTCATAAACCCTACTTTGAGTCAAAAACCTCCTCGCAACCAAACAACCCAAAGAGTCTGTTGACTGGTCGTTTAATCATCACAATTTGTTGCCCTAGGGGTGTTAACGACTTTCCTATGTACATAAATTTAAAAACTCGAAAGTGGTTATGCCGGTTTTTTTGGAACATTTAGGCTAATTAATGCAAACTCACACACACATCATTAGGGGTGTCAATTTCGGGTCACGAGTCAGGTTCAGGACGAACCCGGAACTAACCCAACACTTTTCAGGTCAATCCGAACCCGACACGTTTTTGCAAACATGTCGATTTTTTGGAACTCAAATCCGACCCACTTCGGGTTCATTTTCAACCCGATCTAACCTGTAAGTCAAATCCCGTAACTCCGCTTCGGGTTCGGCAACAACAGAAATCGTGTAACTTCAGCAGCCGGCAATGGCTGCAACAGCGGCAGGCGATGTGACGAGGCAATCGCATCGCAGGTAGTGGCGATGCATGACAGACAGATAGTGGCAGCGAGATCGTGGGTAGATGCGACGTGATATGCAAGGCAACAGGACAAGCTACACTGGCAGATGTGTCATTTCCAGGTCAACTCAAAACCTAATTCAATTTTTGAAATAGGTTGAAAGTCCTAACCCGAACATAAAATTTTCAGATCGAGCCACAGTTTGGGATCTTTTCACATATCGACACCTTACACATCTCATACACAGTAAAACCTAAAAGCTCGTTGGTAGCTCTCTCAACCAACACGGTAAGCTGTGTGTTATGCAGCTTCACTAGGAGAAATTATTGCGTGTGGAATCCGATCACAACGATGTGTTCGGTCTGTAACAGTAGTCAATAAAAATAAAACGCGTGGCGTGCTTACGTGGAAAGTTAAGGCCCGACTAGTTTGTAGGCCCGCCCAGTATATACAATGAAAAAGGCGGAAAATTTTAACATTTTCCAAATTCGACATTTCGGCCATTCGCTCCATTACTCCCGAGCTTCCAGCAAAAAACTCTCGCTGAATTCTTCCAGCAATCTCTTCTTCTCATCATGGACGTGGAAAAGGATTCACCTGCAAAGAGAAAGGTGCGAAAATTCTTACATTGACATAAAATGAACTACGGATATCTTTGGTATTCAACGCGTATTTGAAAAAAGAAGCGCCAACCTAAATCTCCCGGGTCGGGCTGGAAGACGGATCGAATTTACGAGGTTTACGCAAGTCAATTGACTGTTTAACCCTTTCCACGTAAGCAACCGAACACATAGTTGTGATCGGATTCCACACGCAATAATTTCTCCTTCACTAGAGTCTTATACTAGTATCCTCACTCCCGCCGTTTTTCCCCAGTCCGCTCGCCGCCAGCCGCCGCCATGCCGGATCATTCTAAGATAACCGCTTTCGATGATTTCGCAAAGGTGCACGCCATCCTACTCGCTGCCTCCGGCATTCCGCCGGCGCTTCACCGGCAACTCTTTCACAAACTGTCCTTCGAGATATTCGACGGCGGCAACTTCTTCACCATCGAGCAGTGCGAGGGAGGGCGCCAACGCCGCCTCATATTCTCCTCACAATTTCTCCCAATGGAGTCTGATATCTTTCTCATCGACCATGCCTGGACCTTCCGCCTATCTGATGCCCTCAAACAGGTCTCTACTTTTCCCTTGAAGCTTATAGAGAGCAAGGGCTTCTTTGTATTTATGACATTGTTTGGTTCTTTTTGGTTTGGATTTTGGGTGAGATCAGCTGAAGGAAGTGCCGGGGTTGGTCGAGAGAATGGCGGCTCTAATGTGCGTTGATCTGGATTTGGAATCCAATTCTATTGATGTAAGAGAGGTTGAATTTGGAGAAAATCAAAAGAACGAAATCATGAAGAACGTTTTGAAAGTCCTGGAGAGGGAAATGGAGAGGGGTAGTCATTCTTCTACTTGGTTAGAGCTAGAGGAGCTCGGAATCAATGATGATATACTGTCCTCTCTCGACCTGCCTTCTAGATTTCCGGTTAGTGCTGCCTCTGCATTATTGTATAATCAAGCTTGGTTTGGACGCTCTGGTTTGAACTTTCATCTCGCTTTAGTGAAGTTTCATTTATATGTTATATTATGGCGTATATTTTTCGAACAGGGAAATAGAACCCTGCGTATAATTTGTTGAAGGGAAGTTTAGGTACCAGTTTCGGATAAAATTGATACAACCTGCGGCCATTTGTACCCCTAGATGCCTAGTCATATTCTGCCTTCAATAGTTTATTGTCTACATCTAATTTGTTTGAGCATTTTTGTTTGACTGAAAGGGAAGAGTGAATGAGATGGAAAAGAATCTGGCAGCACATATAAAAATAAATTCATATTCATTATGCAATTGTAATAAACGTGAAAACAATTGAGCTACTTAATATGAAAATGCATTTTTATATAAGTGCTATGAACCGGTTTAAAACAAATTGACATAGTTGGTGTTGTGTGTCATTAGAGCAAGGTAAAATAGTTTACAAGCAACATATACTAAAAGAGTAAATAATCAAAATGATTTCTATGCTTTTGAGGTGTGCCGGTTTTAGTTCTATATTTTTTTAGATGTTCAATTTAGTTCCTTAAGTCATGAAATTTGAACCAATTTGGTTCTATTATCAATATTGTTATTTATTTATATAAAAATTAGTGGAGGCAAGGTTTCCATGTGGGGATTTTGAACTCTTTAAGGTTAATTTATAGCTGGTATTAAGTAATGGGATTTTATGCTCTTCTTTTATAGATTTATCTGAAGCAAGCTTTACATTAAAATTTATAACAGCTTAAAAGGACATTTTATCGAAATGAATTGTGTTCTTCCATGTAATATAGTTTTAGTTAGTAATTGACTCTCCGATTGATGATCAATGCATTCATGTGTGAACCTGTAAACAAAACAAAATGAATATACTTGATTAAATGCTGTTAAATTAATGGGATTAAACTAAAAAATCCAAATTTCCCACATAAAAAAGCTTCCTTCTACTAATTTTTATGCATTGAAACAACAAAAAGTTAATAGTATGACCAAATTAGTTCAAGTTTTATGAGTTGAGAGGCAAAATTGAGTACTTAGAAAAAAATAGGGCCAAAATAAATGGACTTAAAAAGTCTAGGGACAATTTTGATCATTTACTCAATAATATAGTTGTTGCGGGCTATAATATACGCGACGATAGAGTTTTAATTCTACGACTTAGCGTTGCATGGATATCCAGCTTACACACAAAGAACACAAGATTTTTTACGTTGAAAATCCTTAAAAGGAGAAAAACCACGGGGCCTAGCCCAGTTGAAAAGATTTCACTAGAGTTTGAGTTGAGTACAGTGGGCTGACTTGTCCTTGAGGGTGATCAGATTACAAATATCAATAATACGGTTGAAGTCTAATGTCATATCTGACGTCACTTGGAAGTTAGGGCGTCAATTAGTAATTCGGCAGTGACTTGGCGGAACTTTGGCGGAGTTCAGGGTCTCAAGTGGTGGTCCATCGAAGGTGAGGGCCTCAAGTGGTGATTCGGAGAGAGTGAGGGCCTGAAGTGGTGGTCCGGCGAAGGTGAGGGCCTCATGTGCTGGTCCGGCGAAGGTGAGGGCCTCAAGTGGTGGTCCGGCAGAGCAACGGCGTCAGACGGTGGTCCGTTGGTGGTCGAGGATGAGCAAGAAGGCAAGAGCGATCTCCGATCTCTCTCTTGAATTCTTTAGTTTGGGGTCCCCTTTCAAGAGAAATGTGGGGTCTATTTATAGATAGGTGAGAGATCAAGGGTAAATGGGGAAGTGGTTGGATGGACGGCCGATATTGAATCCCTTGATCATGGACCGTTTGATGGACATTTGAATGTCTTAGTGAAGTTGGAATTCGGTGATCTTGGGCTCGTTGGATTCGTCTTGTCGAGCCGCTCGATTTGACTATAAGCATGTTATGTTTGGAAACCGTTTGGTAATCCGAATTGTGGTTTGAACCTTCCAACAGCGCTTCTAACCCTTGATTTGGACCTATTTGGGCTCGGATTGGGTTGGATTTGGTGTCGTTGGGTTCGAATACTCGAGAGATTCAGTTTGACTGTAAGTTTGCTGAAATCGGAGTTCGGATGGTCCCAATTTTAATTTTGGAAGTTTCCAACTTGATTTTGCATCGAGATTCGTGCATGATCAAGATAATTGTTTTGATGACATATCAGTAGTGATTTTAATGCGCATATGACAGACAAGCAATACCCAATACACAAACAAAATGGACCAAGGATCATAAGTAGTAATTAGCTTCTCTCTCTCTGATGAATCATCATCTAGCATTGTTGACATCTTTTCAGGCATGAAATTTTTTGTCAAACATCTTTTAGAGAAGTTTTCACTTTCATCTGCTATTTTATTGATGAGATATATTCTAGCGACTTTATGCAGAAGATAATGTTTGAATTTTTGTTGGTCCAACAGAAATGTTTGATCCACCTGCACTTTTCAACAAGTAAAAAACTCTTCGAATGAACCTGTGCACTTTACTGACAGTTCAGTTAAATTCAAGGCAACTGACATTAAGTTTTCCTATGGCTATTCATCAAGTTTAAACATCATTCTTTTCAATGGGAACGGTTACATTTATTGACTTGATTTTTTTAACTTTGTGCTCGTGGTGCATCTGATGATAATTCTTTATACTTCTAGTCTCCTTGTTTTGGTATTATTTTTTGGATTAATATGCTTTGTTCTCTTTCCTCGTAGAATCTGGTTGCTCTTAACCTTTGGGGAAACAGGCTTCAAAATGCAGATACAGTTGTCCAGGAAGTCACAAAATGCAAAAACTTAAGAGCTTTATGGTTAAATGATAACCCTGTTTTGGAGAATTGGTAATTTTGCTGGCTACGGGCATAGCTATTTGGATTTTATTCTGTTCATCCTAACCTTATATATTATGCCATCCTTTTAGCAGACCACTCCTGGTTCCTTGTCTGGTAGTTTATTTTGGAGCCATTTTCAAGCAAATTCTTTTATCTATCTCAGCTATTAAGAAATTATTATGGCCTTTCGTTTTAAAACACTGGTTTTTGATTAGGACTGTCTTATTAAGAAAAGCTTTAAACGGTAAATCTGCAATTTCTTGTTATGAAGAAAAAATAAAAAAAGGAAAAGAAAAAGAAACATTTTAACATCTAAAACCTAAAATCCTAAATCCATGTCATACTTTACAGTTTTTTGTTTCTTTTTCCTATTATGTAATTGATTCTCAGTATAATGAGTAGCTCGAGGAAAAATTGCTTTAGAAGTAATTGAAGGCACTTTTGATTTGTGGTTTCTTTTACACTCAAATTTTAGTGATTTTTATATGGAGTCTAACTAACTTTCAAAATTGCAACTTTAGTGGCAGTTTTGTTGCAAATGCAATTCGTGAAGGCATCTCTAGTCTTGAAATTTATAATTCGTGCTTCACTAATAATTCTTCAGAGTGGGCATTGGGTTTTTGCCAAGGCATTATAGGAATGGATAATCCCAACTTTAGTACCGAAACTGCAAACGCATTGGAAGCCATCACTTCGCTTGATTTGTCAGATAGATGTATCAACAATCTTCCCAAGGTATGGCTTTACTTTTAACCATGATGACATTTCTGCCCTTTTTATGATGTCTAGTCTGCAACGAAGGTGCTGCTTCTTCTATTATATTAGGAGTATCTTAGTATTTTTCTTCCCCTTTTTTTTCATAAGAATACCTTGCCTCGCTTCCTATTCTACTTATATTTAAATTGAACCACTTATGTGGCTGTTAACATTTTTTTTCCAAATTTTTTCTTGATTATGTTTGCCAATGGGCATTTCTAGGATTCTGCATATATAAAGAACAGATGAGTTAACTTCCTATCTAGCACATAGCTTTAGAACGCCTGAAACTAATACTGTAGAAGACCTTAACAGGGTTAACGACACATTTACATAAATACAACAAAACAATTTTTTTATTTTTTATTTTTAAATACTAAATGCTTTCAATTTGACTTTATATGTCCCATAACTATGAAAATTAGCGAAATATACCCACTATTTATTTTCATAGAGAAACATGCCCATAAGTCTATTTCAAATCAAAATACCCTCACTTTTGATTATAAACTACTTATTTAAAGTCCATTGGGATGGACTTGATTCATACAAGGTTGGAACATTATTCTACGAAAATTCAAAACTTTGTTCAAACCCATTTGAACAGGGTTTCAACAACACTTAAACCATGCTCAAATAGGATTATAATAAAATTTGTGTAAAACATGAAAATGCCATTTTAGACCTCGCACACTTTTTGATGCGTCACAACGAGATTTAAGTGAAAATTTCAAAGTTGTCGGATTTTGACGAAATTAATTTTAGAAAAATTTCAACGCAAAATTCTAAGAAATTTGATATATATAACTTATATTTAGTTTTGCTTATTTTGGGAGATAAAAAATTTGAAGTTAAAATATACCCAATCTACCCCTAATCATTATTGAAGCATGGATTGTTTAAGTGAGGGAAAATAGTCTTTTAGCCAACTAAGGGGAATTAAAGGGACCGAATACCTTCGGGCTCTCATTCAATCGAGCGGCCAAACCGAGCGGAACCGAAGGAGCGCGCACGAATGGAAGAGGGGGCGGACGCTCGGGTAGGCTTCGGCGGCAGCTTTTGGGGGCAATTTCCGGCGGCCAAAGTTGGAAATCGTAAGAGAAGACAAAGGGAGAGTCAAGGTATGATTAGAATGAAGAATTTATCTCTTTTACCTTAGATTTTTGAAAGAGAAATTTTCTAGGGTTTGACAAAAACCTAGTTTTTCTTTACAAAATGAATAAGGAATATGTTTTAATTGTAGAAATGAAATTTCCTCAAATTATTTTTGAGATTTAAAAGTTAAGGTTTTGCAAATTTTTGATTTCTATGAACATTTCTTAATGTATAATATTTCTATTGGTCTTAAGGAAGTTTTTAAGGACAGGAATTAGGAGTTTTCATGAAATATTATTGTTCCTAATTTTTAATTAATTTAAATCCAAAAATTTGTTTTCCAAAAATATTAATTTGATGAATGGGAAGTTTAAGCATGCAAAAATAAGAATATCAATAAAAATGGGTTTTCCAAATTTAGGGTTTTAGGTTAAAACCGAAAATAGAAATTAATTTAAATTATTTTGGTTAGGGTATAGGAATTTTGGCAAGTGTAATAACAAAAATATAATTTTGATAAATGATTAGGCAAATTAAATTCATATGTTTGTAATTATGAAAATTAGAGAGAGAGAGTGAGAGAAAGAGAGAACTTAGAGTGGTTTAAAACAACATTTTAAAAGGCGAAATCGGGAATCGAGGCGTAAGCCTCGAGGTGTAAGCCTCGGTACCGAGCATATACCGCTCGGTACTGAGTGGTACTGGCTCTATTTAAATTATATTAATTAAGTTAATCAATAATAACTTAGCTGCGTCTAGGGTTTGCCTTTCATCTTCTCTTTTCGTCCTTGTTGTTCGGCTTCGTTGCTTCATAGGAGGTGTAGAGATTACACGCGTCGCTTCTTTGGCTCCTTTGTGGCTGTTCGACTGCGCTCCTTCGACGACTTTCCCTTCCTATTTGCTGGCTTTGAAGGTAACTTTCTCCCTTTCGAGGCACTGCCTCGATGCGCCTCGGCGCCTCAGGTATTGTGGCGTACGCCTCCGCGGAAAAAGGCGTAAGCCTCGCCCGGACGTTTGAGGCTTAAGCCTCAGTTCGTCCGACCTCCGCCTCGAGGCGTCCGCCTCGAACGCCTTTTTAATCGTGGGTTTAAAATGAGAAGAAGAATTTTTAATTTAGATTTATTTATAGATTTTTAAGGAGAAATTAATGCTTATAGGTGATAATCGTGGTGATCTTGAAGGAAGGACTAGCAAAGAGAATCAATTTTCGTAATTTTTGTAAATACTCATGGTTCTTTATTTCAGTGATATATTTTGTTTCTCTCAAGTTATATGTTTTGAAAGATTAAGCATGTTTATGAAATCTTTATGGTTACTTTAGATCATGATTCTATTACTCCTGTCCAATAATTGATCATGTAATTCATATGTTACATCTTATGGCATTATATTATAAATTTCATATGTTATAGAAATGAGAAGAAATGAGATGATATAATTGTTATTGAATGCTTGTATGTGCATGCTGAATTGATGGAGCTCACCGCCTTATAGTACTAGCTGGGGACGTTGTACTCATGCACGTTAAAATTGTAAATGTTATGAAAAATGAAATGATAAAGGAGTACCTTTATGGTACTATGATGACCCCTGTGACGGTTGTAATATATACCAAATGAGAAAGATACGAATATTAATATGATGAATGAAAATGAATATGAATGATATGAGTTTATGGATTAAGCATATGTTCAAATGATATGTTATTAGAAAATAATTTTATTTTATGTTCAAATGAAATGTGGCATCTAGCATATTGTTCATTTTGTCTTGATTATTATAGTTTAGAATCATGTTTTACTTACTAAACATTAACTTAATATTAGTTGTTAATATTTTTCAGGTGTAATTACTTTAAATAAAAAATGAGTAGAATGGATAAAAATATTTACTGTAGGAGAGGAGCGCCTGAAGAAAGGTAATTATATGAATATGTTTGAGGTTATGTTTATTTGTTTTTAATTTTATTGTTTTAGTGGCTCTTTCAAATATTATGGAAATAGATTTAGAGATTTGATAATTTTGTTTACCGTCCAACCTCCTTTTCCGCCTCGCCTATGCGAGCTCACTGGGCCGGGTCGTGACAATTTGAATAGAATTTGAACAACTTTTGCCAACAACATATACAAAAAATTACGTATTAGTAGCTATAATGATGATTGATACAATAAATTGCAATCAAACAATTATAACATAACATATTATAAGATAGGTACAACAACGTAATATACAAAATATGGTATATCAAAGATCTATCATAATAAGTATGATACAATAGTTTATAAAGTAGATTCAACATAATAATGTAAGAATTGTCGCATGTTAGAGAACTATCACAACATGTGTAACATATTATAAGATGACAATCATTATTTTAAAATTAAGCTATAACACATCACAATGATAAGCATTATATCATTTATGTTATTATACTAACATTAAATTAAATTTGAGGAGTTATAATGGTCTTACTATAACAATTAGAGTAAAACTTAACCTTTTTAAGATGATAATGCTGTTAATTTCAAAGAGTTGTAAAGATCTTTGTTGACCTATATACAAAAAAATATGCTCAATACACTATATGCATGTAGTTCAATGCCGTTCACACGTTCTTTGTACGTTGAAATCCTATGAAATCACGCAAATATCGAATTCGGACGTCCGACCACTAACACTGCACATCAATGCCTCTCCTCTTCGCACGTTGTTCCGCGATCCACTCTTCCTACAGACCGTGAATCCCACGATCATGTTCGATTGATAAAAGGGAAGGCGAGCGGGAGGCTTTAGGTGTCTTCCGAGTTTCGGCACACGAGCAAGCTCCCATTTCTTCCCTCTTTCCTTCTGACCTCTCCACTCACTTCTTCTTCCTCTCTCATGCGTGAAATCCGTACCACCGACCCACTGCTCTGATTCAGACCACCTGAGCTCCAATCCATATGTTCGAACACCTCCCTACCTTCCTAATCCCGTCTCCAGTACTCGACGCCGACCCCTGCTACCGCCTGTATCGACTTCCCTCTGACCCAGCTGATTACCATCTTCTACCCATCGATCTTCCTTATGCCTCTAGGCCACATACACCTTCGGCCATCAACCTCCCCCATACCCTCTACTTCGATCTCTATTTCCCAGTAACCCCTAGGCCACATACACCCACCTGATTAAGCCCACCTCAGAACTGTAATCCTCCTTGCCGAGTAACCTCACGATATTGCCTCCTCTATGTAGTCAAAGCTGCCCTTTCGATCTCAATATGATCCACTCGACCGAACCTCCTACATTAGGTAAAATTTTCTAATTTATTTTAATATTAAATTATAATTAATTATAATAATTAATTAATTATAAAATAAGTTTAAATGATAGTCTTCACAAATATATAATCTTATATATGGTCTACCTAATTTTAATTTTATTGTGGAGTTAAGATGATATCCCCGGGATCATTTGACTATCTATTATATGAATGTACCAAAAGCCTATCTATATATATATATGACATTTCCAAAGAATTAATGAGTAGTAATGAAAATGAAAATAGTGTAAGTAAATTTTAACTAAAGTGTATTTTATGATTTATAATGTGATAAAAGCATTTCATGTTCTTATATGTATGCATGTTGTTTGTTTAAAATTCTATCTTTTATTCTTTTAAATGTCAAAAGTAATCAGCTGTAAAAGTTATCATTAACATTATATTGAGTTAACATTGTCTATAATCAGAAATGCTCATGTTAGAAACTAAGACCAATATGCATATTATTTCTTTCTTGTATGTTTGAACTTTATATTAAATTTTTTTTCTCAAACACAAACTGAAGCTTATATGTATATATGTATGTACGTATATATATGTATGGATGCATGCATGTATGTATGTATGTATGTATATGTATGCATGCATGTATGTATGTATGTATATGTATGCATATGTGTATATATATATATATATATATATATAATTTAATCGATACAAATCTTAGGAAAATTTATATTCAAATAATTTAATTACACCGTAGCATTCATAGCCTTTTCCACCAACTTGTGCATGCAACAACTATCCACTCGGGCTTTAATCGCACGACTGAGAGTGGAAATGCATTAGTGTTTATTATATTATTATATAATTAAGTTCATTAAAGCCTTTTCCATTCCTTTCCCACATTTTATTTATCTTTGGAGTTTGAAGAAGGCTTCTGCCAAGTAAGAGGAAGTGGGGGAAGACCGTGAGGGTTGCTATGCTAGAAATAGCAGAAATCGGTAAGGAAGGAAATGAAGGGAAGAAGAGGAAGAGACTAGGGTGAGATAAGAGAATTGGGTTGAATGAGGACTTTAATTGAGGTAACATTTTATATTTTTCTCATAACTTGATTTTTAGATTAGAATTCGTGTATGAATGATAAAGTTTATTCTTTAGCTTATTTACAAAAGAAAATGAGGTTTGGGTCTAAGAGAACAAATTCATCTTATTATCCTAGAAAATGAGGTGAGATACCCAATCTTTAGTATAAGTAACACAAATAGTTAGCAAAATTTTAATATAATTTTAGTAGCATTATTTCTTATATTAACCAAATTATCAGTATATGATCACTTATTCAATCAAGTTTATTTGATATATATTTAGCATTAGTAACATGATAATTTGGATGTATGCTATGCTAGTCTGAAGTTTAAGGAGAAAAGTCATTTTGTGGGGATAAGCCGACACAAGTAAAAAGTGAATGACCTTATAGGTAAGTCTTAGTAGGGATTGTTCATGAGGTACCCGACTTTCTCTCTCTTTGTCTTCTAAAAAGTTGGAGATTTAGATCCAACCTTGAAGGGAGGAGCCATAAGTGTGCTAAAGCCTATAACCATCATATGACTTGACTAAATTAGTGTAAAATATATAGAATAAGAAACATGGAGAAAGCTGGAAGAGTTCATATAGTGAATTGCATAGTTATATGCATTGATTATTTACACTGCTTATGATTTCTATAATAATTCAAATATTAGTATGTAGATTATTTGCTTCTTGTTCTTGTACTAGGATTATATATTTCATTGAGCATTCAACTCACCAGTGGATGTATTGCAGGAAAAAAGGCAAGGAGCTAGAGGGGCTCTAGGTAGGAGTGTGACTGCATTATGTACATAAGTTTTGAGTATATATAGAAGACAAAACAATAAGATGTACATTAAAAACTTTTGGCTATGTAAATTTTATTTGAAAGTTTTGAAAATCTCTGTACTTTATTTTGATGTATAATAAATATGCTTCCGAATATGAAATATTTAGATAAAATTTCAAGACTGAAAAATTATATGGAAGGAAAAATTCATACAAATACATTTCTCACTAACATCCATTATGAACTTCTTCAGCTCACAAAGAGCAGATGCCTTGTTGAATGTATAACTACAATCCATTATCAATTGATTTCTCGCTAGTAGGGATGTGACACATGCCTTATGACTAGATGTTTTTGCTGCAAAAATGACACCACTATATTACGATCACTGTAAAAGCCTGTATATTCCCTAATGGTTAAAGGCCCCATTAAATAATGAATTATAATGTGTACTCGATAAGATATAAAGCTCTTTATTAGTTAAGCTTGACTCGAATTTATCCTCTTAGACAAACATCCAACCCGGGTCTACAAGGTATCCTTTGACGAAGCAACTCATAGTTGCTGACAAGGATCATTCGGCCAGGTTGGGTTGACTACATTATCTGATTAAGTGAACTAGAGACCATGACAACCCGGGATAAATAAATCATAGGATCTAAATCGAGTTTGTCATCATTCCCCCATCACCCGCTTTAAGTATATGATGATAAATTCTAAATCATTAACTCCAAAAATCAAATTCAAACTCTAAAAATCATTGTTATTATATGCTAGGTAATTATTACGACCTATATAATAACTAGACTTAATTGAAAGTGCTATCTCATTATCAGGAGGGGTAACTAACCAAAGGGGCTTGGGCCTATGCAAAACCATATCCCGGATCATAAAGTCCTCATAAAATGAGCTTGAAATCTTTAGGTAGTGTCTTATCTAAAAATCCAATATACCTTCTGAAAGTTTACCTTGGAACTTAAACTTGTTAAAACTCTTATCATCAACGAAAAGAAATGGAATAGGTTTAGACGCAAATTTTCGGAGCCCACAGTATTGCCATCAAGGATGGACTTGTGGGGAGGAAACACTCATTTTGGATTTAAGGACACCTTTAAGCTGTAGATGAAGATCAACTTTAGCCTCAACAAAATCTCAAAAATTATAGGGCTAGGATGACCAAATCCCATGATCATATGGTTCACCTTAGTAGTTTTAAGGCGGGTGTTGTATGGTTCCTATAATATATTTTTTTATCTTATTTACTAATTATATTTTTTTGAAAATTTTAATTATGACCAACTTAAATTTATGTTATCAAAATAACTTCAAAAAATATGAAATTCTTGAGCTCTAATGTGATCTAGATTTCTTGTGATGAATGGCTTCATTATGGATATATCTTTTTTGAGATGAATGTCTTACCTGTCTTGATATAAATCTTGAGCTTTCTTTCCCACCATGTAAATCACAAATGCCACTTCAAAACAATTGAAACCAAAATTCTTTAATTAAGTTTGGAGCTGACTCGAAATATAGATTTTTAAAGCTTTGTCTAAAGTTCTATTAATATATTTCCCGTTTCATTGGCAGGCTTTTTCTCCAGCTATTATGCCCTCACTATCACATATAAATCTCAAAGGAAACCATCTGGATGGTGTTGCACTTGATGATCTACTAAATCTTCTAAGGGGATTCACTTGTTTACAAGAATTGGAGGTATCGCTTGTATCTGTTTGTAGTCGTGCATGTACATACATGAATATGCACATCATTTGTAGGCTTTCCTCCACATAAATTCAAAATTTATCTTGAGCAGCAGATGCTGACATGGACCTGCTAATATTCATAACTCTTCGATATGTAAATACTTGATACATCCGTTACACACATAAGTATGTTTAACTTTGTAGGTGGACATTCCAGGCCCCCTTGGCAACAATGCGGTGTGGATTCTTGAATCTCTTCCTAGATTATCTTCATTAAATGGAATCAATGCATCAAACATCCTAGACATTGGAAAACATGTTGTTGATTCTGCTCTTAAACCACGTCTTCCCGATTTTACTTTGGCTCAAACTCTAGTGGATAGGGTTATTGGTGCAATGTGGTTATATTTGATGACATATAGACTTGCTGATGAAGAAAAGATAGATGAAACTTCTGTTTGGTATCTTCCCTAGTCTTTGCTTGAATTTTAGCAGCTATTTTGTTTTTCTAGTTCTATTGAAAATCATTTACTGATGAACTTTGATGATATGGATTTTATGACTGAATTTTGCAATATCATTTCCTTTCTTCAAAACATGTGGAGCAATTGTACGAGTTCTCTACATTGATGAATGATTAGAAGACAAGTTCTCATTGACTGTTTGAAAGTGAATCATGGCAACTGAATATCATCGCTGCATTGTCCTTTCCTCATAAAATAAATCAGCTAACATTAGCCTTGTCCAAATATTTTGCTTTTCTTTCTGAAAAAATTTTCCATTTATTTTTATTAAGTATTAAGCGTCTTCTTAACTTTAGTTTATCTTTATCTTTCTGCACTTTTAATATTACTTTTATCTAACCCTTTAATTCCCATTCTGGTTGCATTAACTTGATCGGGGTATTAGATAGGTTTCTTGTCGGAAAATGATTATATTAGGTTGATATGATTTGTTATCCTGATGAATAAGGGCATTATCTCCTTTATCTGTTTCCAATTTTTATCCTCTAGATTGCATGTTTATATGCTCAACATGTGTAGTTAATAATAGACTTATATTATCTTCCTCTCAACAAGGCATTAGGGCAAGAAAATCCTAACCACACTCTCAATTGATCCTACTAACCGCACATTCCCATTGTTCGCACGATACCTCATCCGCTTGCTTGCTCACGCATTGCTGCATTAGTACCTTATTTTTGTCCCACATGTTGTTGCTAGCTTGGTTGCCCACATGTGCTTATATACATGCAACAAATTGTCTTCTCTTGTGCCCCCTGTTCTTGCATGCACTTGCATTTCATGTTGTGCTACTCACTGCTCTTTCTTCTTTCACTTCTACTCCTCAATGAGCTGTATTCAATGGTCTGACATTTTTTTCCCTCTTATTTAGCTCTACATACGTGATCTTATGCCCTTTCATCTCCTTTGCATGATGTGAACCTTCCTGGACCATTGTTATTTCCATTAAGTTCAATGGTACCAATTACCTTCTATAGTTGAGGGCTTTTTATTTTCTTGTTGGTTCTTATAACAAATTCTCTCCTCCATGCATCACATTTGTCAAATAATGATACCTTCAAGTTCTTCATACGACAAATATTTGTTTATGTTGTTCTTATTTGGCTATTGAATAGTGTTGAACCAACTATTGCTTTCACTATCATGTTTCATGTGAGATTTGGTTTACTCAACTTATTGGAAAATATATATTTATGCTATAACATATTTTCTCAACATCTGAAAATTTTGTTTATCCAAGATTACTATAGGCAGGGGTAAATGGGATGAATTACTTTACTTTTTTCTATTGATTCTAATATACGACAACAAAAAATGAAGCATTCTTAGTTGCTAAACTTTTTTTTTTTAAATCTTTATCCATCCCATCAGCATTTATTATCCTAGATGATGACATATTTTACAATTCCCATTGTTGCATTTTCTCTCTTCCCTAGTTGTTGGGTCACTAAGCTATTATCTCACTTTCCACCAACATTTAATCAACTTGCCTCCGACTCAGGTTGACAGAGAATTTTTCATCAACAAATTTTAAAATATTATTTTATGATCGAGTTTGACATAGAAAAAAATAACACATTATCTTGAAAGAGAAAATATTAATTCATTATAGACTCAATAACAAAATTTCATTTTATTTTTACATATCTTGTGATTTTTTCCTACTCAACATGTTAGATTGAATAAGGTTTATTTTTCTGGGCTATAATTTCTCCATAGGTGTAAGCCCATGTAATTAATTACATCCTAAGAGTGTTTGAACTTTAATAAACTCTGATTAAAATAATTATTTTCATTTTTTATATCAAAATATTGACCAACATTTTTATATGATTTCAATTATTCTATTTCAAATTTTGATCTTGAAATTTCATGAATGACTGGATCTACTTATTGTTGATTTCATAAAGAGGTCAATGTAGAAAGATGAGTATTTGATTATGAAAAATTCAGAGATAGTCATACTATTCTATAATGGGTTTGACATTTTAAAAATTAATCTCATATTAAAGTTGACCAATTTTATTTAGAAGGTTAAGACTTACATTTTAACAATACAAAATTGAGAAAATACCTTGAAAGGTGATGACTTATGATATAACTGATAATAATGTCAGTCTTGGATTATAGATCTAAAATGAGAACACCTAATAAGGTAGTAATCCAGATCTAAATCTAATAGAATCACGTGACTTATAAACTAGAAACTTTATCAAAGGTTAAGTTAATCTCATGTTTGATCTTATAATCTTGCTTAGAAAGAACAACCAACTAAATCCTCTTGAGCACTTCTAAAATAATGTATTCTTTGTCTCAATTCATATGCAAGATAGACTAGACTTTTTTTTATTTTTAAAATAGTATTTATTATTTAAACACAAGCTAAGATGCCTGACCATGAGGGATATGTATGTTTACTCACCAATACAAGTTTTCTTAAATCATTTAGCCTTAATGTGAGAGCTTTACTTTTATATATAACTCACAAGATTATGCATATGATGTTCATTAGTTAAGAAAATAGATTTGATGTGGATTCTAATTATCATACTTTTCTGGATAAATAATCTAAATACTAGATTGCATATTGAGATCCATAAAGAAGCTTTCCATTTAATTTGATTTTAAAATCTCAGCTTATTTTAGATAAGCCATATAGTTGATTTTAATATTGTTTATATTTTATTAGTAAAATTTACTCCTAAGAGCCTATAGCACATGCCCATATCACCTTCAAACAAATTATATAAAGAAACTTAAAAAAGCTTATATAATTTTAATGTGCACCCAAAGTAGGTACAATCGAATCATGTAAATCAGCCAAATAATAATAAGAAAGGTTGATTGTGGCTGGGTTCACAATATAATCATAGAAAAAAAAAAAAGCAGCTGAGCTTTCTGCCATATACAATCCAATGTAGATCTATGGATTTAGCCTATAGGTCTGCAAGCTGGGGCTTCTGATCCATTCAGGGCTTCAATTTAAGAAAATTATATTTCTGCAGAGAAAATTGACACCCTTTCTTCACAAAGTTAAAGTTATTGAGCTTGTAAATATAAAATAAGTTGGTTGCCATACACATCAGATATTCACCTAATGCTTGAAATTGATGGTGCCAAACTGATTTCAGCTTTTATTTGTCATGCCTAATGGCTAAGTATTTGTAGCAACATATGCTGGTAAGAGTTGATAGATAATGGTTTTTAATTTGTTTGCTCCTTTTGAGCATGACTATCTTTATGGAAATATATATATATATATATATATCCCTATTCAAGCACCGCAAGTGCCCACAACAAATAATCAACAAACTACATTTAACTAAATAATTATTATCACATCACAACTGCATGCGAAAAAACAAATTCTAATCCTAGGATGCTTAAAGGGTTGTATATCTATCGTGTGCTGGTTGATGCATCCGCCACGCTATTATTTGATGTATTATTTTATTTTGGAATTGGAATATATTTTTTTTTATTTCTAGGGTGATTTTACTTTTAAGTTATTTGTGACTTAAAGTTTTAACTTTTAATTTAACTTTTAGAAAGTTTCATGTTTTCAAAATGAAGAAGCTATTTGATGACTAATGCTTGCTTTGTGGCAAGCCTACCATCCATTGTATCTTAAGATATAATGACATAGGCATATCATATTTTTCAATGGAATAATACATTATTATATCAAAAAAGGAATCTATGTAGTTTTTATGGATTTTAATGATTCTCTTGATGTTCGATTTGGAGGAGAAGAGTTTGCTTAAATTGGCTCATACAAACATGTGTAATGATTTCATTTAGGACTTGTTGAAATTCACCTGATTGGGCTATAGACAAGTTTGAGGATGAAAGTCTCCTAAAAAGATCTACAAGCTTGATTTAATTTTGATTGAGTTCACTTATTTTGCTAAGTGATAAATCTAGAGTTTGGGTCTAAATAAGAGTTCATTTACTTGATTGGGCAAAGTAATTGTTTTTTCTTTGAGGCCAACAAGGAAGGATGACACTTGCTTGATTGGGTTAGGCAAGTGAGCTTATGATTGAATCAAATAGGAAATACTACTAAGATTTGGTCATAGCCTATAGGGTTTATTACTTAATTTTGGGTTCAATCAAATGAAAACAAATATTTCAACAGCTTTGAGGCGATTGAAGCATGAGATATCTTAAAACTTTGAGGCAAAGTTATGTGATATGGTTTCACATAACAACTTTGGGTTGTTGGCTTGAATTAGGTTCAACCAAATGCAAAGAATTAGAAGCTTTGGTCTTTAATTTGAGAGTTTGAAACCAAGAGAATCTCCTAAAACTTAAGGATTTTAAGTATTAATGTCATTTGTTTAGCATGAAATAAATGAGGAATGTTAGACTTTGAGTCCTATGTAAAAGATTTGGTGTTCTTTGTTGACTGAAATGCCAACTAAAATGAAGATGAATATAGATTTTGGCTCTAAAAAAGACAAATGCTATTTCATAACCCTTTTAAGGTTCATTTGAGAATCATGTTGGATTTAGAAAGACATTAGGCCAAAGAACCTAAATGAGAGAGTTTTGGATTGAGTTTGTTTCATTCTAAACCAAGACAAAAGGATTATCTAAAGTTGTTTGGCTCTTTGGAGAATCCTAAACAAATGCTAAGATTCTTTTTGAAACTCATTAAAAGGATTTATGAAACCTTTAAATGGAGTAATACAGGGCACTAAACAAGGTGAATTTATTTGGAGAAGCCAAATTTTAGTTTTACCTTCATACAGCTCAAGGTACTTTAAAATTTGTTTAAAATCAAAATAAGGTTCCAAATGGATTCAAGAAGATGGAATGTTAATTGAGTCAATTAAGTAAGAAAGCTAGGCTTGGGTCCTACGCATAATTGAAGCTATTTTTTTTTTTTTTTTGGGTCAAACAAATAAGCTAAAGAAGCCTAGGATTTGTTACTA